TAATAGTCCTTATTTTGCAACGTGAAAACTGGGCAGATTATAATATTTTAGCCAAAAAAACCCGCAACTGTTTTTATAAATCTTCTGGGTAAAAAAGTTCCAATAATAATTTATTTTATTTGGTTTTTTTTTATTTTCTTTATCGGGCAACATTTTTTTCATTCAAACCAATTATATTCGTACCTAGGTTCAGTTTTTCAAAAATTTCTTAAAAATTGTCTATACTTACTGGAACCTCTCAAATATTATCCGTGTGACAACGCATGTCGTCCGATTATTTTGGAAATTCGACTACATTTAGGTAAGTCCAATTTAAGTTTTGTTACCAAGTTTTAAGCCTTTACGTGTATTGATAACCGAATTAAAGCAAAAACTCCCAAAAATTAAAATTTCTTAAAACCTTAAAATTGACTCAAAAGTTTTGGCAATCATACCATAAGAAATTAATTAAAAATGACAACAAAAAAGAAGTTTTATGACTTTTCGATTAAACCATTTCTTCTGGTAGAAAATGTCGTCCGTGTTTCTATAAAATAATGAAATCGTGAAATTGTACGTTTTCCTACGTTCTTTTCCACTTCAGTGCTTTTATTTAATAAATAGCGTCGAAAATAATAAAAATGATTTTTTTAAAGTACCATCTAGACAATTTGTGCTTTCAGAAAAGTTGTTACACATAAAAATCGGAGCAAGTTTACTAGGAAAAATCGTGTTCACGGACTAAAACAAAGAAATAAATAAACAGCATTGTAAAGCAATAGCTCCTTCGCTACGCTCGGAATCTAAAATTTAAAATGTGAACAATAATGAAGATAAAGATTACGGCAGCGTATCAAATATTTTACGTAAAAATATGGAAAAAATTATTTCATTTAAGACCCAGACATTTTTTAAACGATTTAATACCAATTTCAGTTGTATCGATTCATCACCTTCCTGTCCAAACAATACAGAACAAAAGCAAGGATATGAAACAGTTCGTAATTTAAAAGTCGTAAATGACACGAGCTGTCAAATCAATTGAATATTTTAATGGGATAGGCGCGAAAAATGAAAATCGAAAACAATATACACTACAAGTCGTTACACAGCACTGGAAATGACATTTAAATAGCAATAAAAGCACTGTAATGGAATGTTCATGACATCAAAATCGTGATAAGTTCTAACGATCGTCGCCCACGTCGTCGCGACCAAAGGCATTCACCGACAAAAGCGCAAGCAAATTGTAGATAATTAACATGCAAATTGTTCGCCTTATTATCAGCTGTTAACACTCATCAATTATCTATGCTCACTTAAGTCAATAATGTTTTTGTTTTATTATTGTTTTTTGTCTTGCGTTCATCGTTCTGTCATTTTCCATTCCCGTTTGCTCGCTCTTCGAGTTACACAGACGATCATTTTCGTATTTCTTAAAATCTTTCTCTCTGTTGCGACGCATAAAATGTACATATTTTTCCCGTAATACTAAATTTGTTTGTCATGCTATCGCGGTACAAATAAATACGTTATCCATTCGAAAAAGCATACCATGTGAAATTATTACAACACCCATAGCTTGTTTCCATTCCTCGGTCGTCTACATCTCGTTACAGTTGCTGCCATCATTGCCGCCGCGATCAGAGTCTGCAATTAATATAAGCTGTGTTGCCAAACCGGATAAGTGTAGGCGCACCAAATAATGTGTGTATGTTGAGTTGTATACTTTCCTAAAGTAGGTGGGCACGCCGAATAGCGCGTGTATTAGATTGCATACTCACCCACAAGTTTGGCGCAACTCAAGTGAAAACGTCGAGTGTAGTAGCTCGACTGATCCTTCTACCTTCTACCTAGATTCGTCTCTGATGCATGGAATACAATTAATATTAAACAATAAGACTGTGACATTGTATGCAATTTTTTTTAAAATGTATTTTTTACCCCTTGAATTCAATATTATATACATTATATTATGTATAATATAAATTATTATATTTATTGTATCAAAAAAAAAAAAATGATAATAACAATTTATTAACTAATCAATTTAAATATATATTTTATATATTAAAAAATATCTGTTTTTCAACTTAAAAATCTTAGAGATATGGGTAAAACTTAACCAATTAACTTGAAATTAGGTATGCTTTATCTTTATGTAAAACTGATTTAAAAGGATGGACCAACATTTTTAAATATTGAAAAATAAGGACCATCCTAATGGACATCAACCTATTGACTATTATTTAATAGGTCTATAGCTGGTATTATATTTGTCGACTATTATGTTACAATGTGTAACCCAAAAACTAATTTCAAAACCAGAAGAGTATCAAAAAGATAATAATATCTATGCTAATAATATGCTAATAATCAAATAAAATGTTTGCAAGTGTATTTTAATACTCATATTACCTACCTGCAATTTAATATTTTTTTAAAAAAATGAAGGTTTTGTAGTTTTCAAATATAAATTACAACAACTAAGAAAATATAAAAAAAAAAGGAAAATAGAAGGTAGGTGCTAGCCGCTAGGTATGCTACATACTAACTATTAAGCGTGCTAAATCTTCAAGCTTAGGCTTAACTTTTAGCTTAGCATATATAAATGGTATGTATCTTATAAATAATATAAAGAAATCTCACTGCTTAAAAACATTATTGATAATAACGGGAATTGATCACAGCATCTTAATGCTGAAAAAAGAACAATTTATAACAGGGCTGTACATAATCATATAATTATAATACCATAATAATAAATTAAATGTACAAAACAAAACTAAATAAGTAAAGTCTTTGAAAATTGAAATTTTACACTTAATTATAATAGTCTTTTATAACCGCAAGTTTGACCAGAAAAAAAAAGTTAAAGTTTTAATGGAATTATTTATTAATTATTAACTCTAAATTAAATTAGATGATATTCTGAGGAAGGAAAAGTTTTCACTGAATGTATATTGTGAAAATGGCAATTATATTATAATTACTAATTAACCTATTAGGTAATAGTAGCATTTATTGAAAAAAATAAACATATAAATATATTTTAGTTTAAAGGTGAAAATAATGACCATTATCGTTAGATTAAAAATGTATGAAAACTTCTGAAAAAACAAAAGACGATTTTTATGTAAAATGTGATTAAACAGTTTTTATAATGTTAAAAAATATTAAAAAATCAAACATTTTATTATGCTGATCATAAACGTCACCAACCATCCTTATTGACAACATCGCCATTTTCGACAACACCGACAACAGACGCTACCAAATCTAATTAAACACAGTGCGTTTCATAACCACATAAACAATTTTATTCCTTATTCGTATGTTGTATATCATAATACGAAAACTTCGTCAAGGGAACAGGTTATAGTGCTTAAATTACTTCTCTGGTCGCTTATCCTCCGCCGGCGCACATTTGAAAACTCAACTTGATTATTATTTTAATAAATGTGATTCAATCTAAAGACCTCAGCCGAATATGTAACGACAGTAAAAATTAGTATATTTAATAGGTTAAAAAAAATAAAAATCTTAGTAAAACCAATGTATTCAGAATCTAAAGGTAATATCAACCAAAACAACCATACATACATTTTTTTCTTTTTTTTAAAACATAAAAACAAATTATAAACACCATAGTTTAACCACGTATGTATTTAATTAATTAATAATAATTAAGAATGATTTAATTAATAAATAAATAAATTTTAAAATATAAAAACTAACTAATTCTGACTAATTAAAGTTAGGAACGAACTCATTAAAATATGTATACGGAATTATAATATGTAAAATTAATTATAAAAGAATTTAAAATATTGGCATTCAAATATAAACATGTAGATACTGCTTACTATTGGTTGGATAATCTAAGGTTACTAGATATATACGCAGTACATGTATGTCGTTAAATAAATTTACTAAACGTATGAGCAATAAACTACACAACATGTACTGCGTTTTTTTTCTAAAATCCCTTAGGTAGATACAACATATTTAATCTCATTTAAAAGATCTAAATAATGTTTTACTGCATTTAAACCCAGAAAAATCCATGTAAAATGGCCTAATAAACAATAAATATTCTACAATAATCTAATTTATGAAAAATTGTCGGTTACTGCCTTTCACTTTGACAGGATAGTATGCCTTTATCACGAAACATTTATATACGACTAGCATAGAGATTTCGGGGTTTTTTTTGTGTTATTTCTATAAAATATAGACTATATAATATTACTATAATATTTATAGTTAAATAAGTACATAAATGTAGTTCCCCAGTCATTTATAAAAAAAAAAAAAAAAGTCTTAGGGGAGATACGACACTCAAATCCTCCCCCCATAATTATGCCACTGTGCTGAAGGTAGAAAGCTAAATCAAAAACGGCCAAAACCACATTACCGTTGGATGGAACAAATAACAAAAAAGACTTAAAAGATTTAAGAGTAGAGGCGAGAATTGAAGAATAAGGATGCAGAAGATTAGGATCGGTGGACACCTTTGGTGGTAGTTGCGAACTACTTAAACCAGCTTATAAAACAAAAATATTACGAGTAAACATTGGTAATATTACCTAGGTGTGCAATTAAAATGATTTTTCCATTTTATAAACCGACTGGTATCTATAATAAGCGTAAATAATATCAACCTCATGAAGTCCACATACCTATAAGCTATAGGTATGGTAAACACATTGTATCGAAAACATCAGTTGTGGACTGTGGTGGATACCTTTATATTGTGTGTTATAATATTCACAAAAAATAATATACGAGTACAGTTTAAACAATTATACTTAACACGAGTTGTATTTTTACAGCGCATACAAAAACGATTATGTACCTACAACACAAGTAGATAAACAATGGCAATGGAGTGGTATTATATAGATATATTATAATAATGTACCTAATCGAAAACTTTTTACCGTAAATATTATGCATGATATTTTGGAAATTTCAACGAAAATTATGTTTGCCAAATGAATAATAATTATACTCCTGCACTGGGAACGTTGCTATGTTTTGAACGTTAAACAAAAGCAAAAAAAAAAAAAAAAAACACCCCATAAATGAAACGAATTTGACTTTTACTACCTAGTTTTTAGTATTGCTGTATAGAAATTTATATTTTTTAACTTTTTTGTTTTCTATTTTAATCATGAAATTTGTACTTATAATGTTAATATTCGTGTCGCTACAGCGTGAATGTTTCTTGGTATTAGACATAGTGTATTCCCGAGTTAACAAGCCGTGGAACAGCGATGATTACTTAGAGACAATGTTTGGATATCGAAACCCCCCCAGATTAAACTATATGACAAATTCACTATCAAGAAGTACTAATTTCAAGCCGGATAAGGTAAATAATTATTCTATGTTTTTTTTTTAAGATTCTAATGCGATAGTGTAGTTTAATATTAAGAGAATTGAATATCGATATGTTTTCTCTAATACATATTACATATACAGCAATTTAAACCAATGTGCTTTCAATAGAAAACTGATTTTAATTTAGAATGGAGTATATAAAATGAGATCGATTTAATAAATTTACATTTTTTTTTGTACATTTACATTTTTAAATATTCTTTTTGGAAATTCAGTACTGAAATTCAAAAAAGTGGTCTGACCGATTCATGTATACTTGAAAACCTGAATTAAAATCTATGTTCAAAATTCTTATCGTTTTGCTATATTAATCACACAAATTGAAGAAAAATTAGTCCAAATTGTTACACTGTGTTGAACAACGAAATAAAATACCGATATCCAATTCCTCTTAGTTAAAACCTGATAAATTCCAAGTCATCTATTATGGTTATGATAAATAATGTATTACAGACGATGGGGTTATTTGATTTACCAAGCTCCAACCTGTTCAATCGTATGACCATGAGTTCAATGTCAAATACTGGTAGTTTACTTCCAGAAAGGGTAAATAATTTTATTCAGGGAGTCCTACAAAGATATATTCATCAGTATTAACTTTTTTCGAAATTTTTTTTTAACAATTTAAAAAACAAACAGTCCTAAAATATTACTACCATTAGTTTTTATCAACCTTAATTTTGGGAGTGAAACAACTTTCACGACATTAAATTTTGGGTTGGGGAAGTAATGAAGCACTATTCAAACGCCACACATCATGCCGTGCAACAAACGATGCTCCAGAGAAGAATCCTCATTGTTCTCTATTTCTACAATTTTTAATATAGGTTACCATTTGAAAATCAAAAGTAAGGAGTCCCTTACTTTCCCCTACCAGTCGCCTGCAAGAAAGTTTCCCTCCAAAAATAAGGATAATTCTAAAAATAACGTTAATGTAACATTTCAGAGATGATTGTTTCTAACAAATTGTCAAAAAAAAAAAATCATAAAATATCACAATGGGTATATCTTTGTGAGACACTATATATTTTAATTATTCCAAATAAGAAACTGATAATATAATTATTATAAATCTGAAACTTGACATAGGTACATATAACATATTCCCCAATATTTAAATCACATAATAACATGACGATAATTAATTTATTACAGTCAATGTTTGGATTTAAAAGTCCTGAGCTCAATCAAAATAATATAAATCCAAAATCAAGAAAGAAACAGAATTCATCGCAAGATATGGTAGATATTATAATAATTCAATTTTTTACTGTTATATCTATGTGGATATACAATATTTTATCTGAAGGGTTCCAACATCAAATGTCAACTATTACCCTTTAATCTCCAATTGACCAATTCTAAAGTATCCGTCGAACCTGTTATCTGGGATCTGTATAAAATAAGTAATTCAAATCAATTGGAAAGCGTATAACGAAAATCGTTCAGATTACTGGGTTCATTCTGTACATAATTTTACCTATGTAGTTGAAGGTCGGCTAAGTCTTTCTTCGCAGTCAGACCGTAAGCATAAGGCCAACCAGAAATGTGTTAACAGTGTGCTATCTGTTATGATTGATTCTAAATCTACCTTGTCTTTGTTTAATTTAAAAGTTTCTTCTCGATTTACCCGATCATATGTTCCACTTTTTTTTTCCAATATGCTACCCAACTATTTTCAAACGAGCCAGTTCGTTGGTTAATGCAGTCAGCAAATAAAAACCTCTCATTTCTAACGATTATTTAAATATGTGTGCATGAATATTAAACTAAAATTAACTTGTTTCTTGTGCATAGTGCTTGTCCGTAAATAAATATTAATAATAATAATTTTCGACATTTTTAAGACGTATACAAATATGTTACGATTGTTACAAAATCCCGAGCCTAACTATTTGACTGGAAATTCAATATCGAGTACTAGTCGTTTATTACCGACATCAAAGGTAAATAACAGCCTTGATTATTATTTACTTATTTTGAAAGAATATTCTTCTCATTGAATATTGTAATATATTATTTGTTCAAGACAACGACGACTGTTATACGCCACAATTTTCAAATGGACAATAACATGATGTCGTTAACGAAACCGTCAGGAACAAAAATTATCATCAAAAAAGAAATTGAACCCGTCGCCGCTACTCAACGAAAAAAACCGATAACTAACCCTAACGGCAATGTCTACAAAGGAAAAGTCGTGAAAAGATCACAAATCAATTTGAGATCAGCATCCGTATAATCGAGTCGATAAGTCGAACTGTGCAATGTGTTATAATAATTTGGCTGTATTATTTTATTATTTCGTTCTCAACCACCCCTCCCCTCCATTTAAATTATCATTATACAGAACTCAATAATTGCCTATTATAGATACCTACCTAATGAACCGGTACGGTTCTAACACAAGGAATAACTTTAGTTCACTAGTTAAATTGAAACACATTACAATAATAATTATGATTTAATTTAACAAAACAGAGTTTAGTTTAGATTATTATCTTGGAAAAAAAAAATAAATGTACTATTTTTTTTTTTTTTTTGATATTACTTATACATTTTAATTATAATATCACGATTTATAGATAACTATAATGATAAAGATAACCATAAATTAATAATATACATTTAATATTTTATAACACAAAATACATAGGTACAATATATGATCAAAATCGGATATTATAATGCATAGGTATACCTACGATCACTTGCACAAGACAAACATATAATATTATTGTTTGAACATTTGAAATTGATGATAAATTTATTGAATATTGTGATCGAAGTTGACGTTTATGACATTAAGATTATTAAAAATAAACTGTATACAAATGTTATACTAGGACACCAAAGCGGCTACTACACCGACCCTCTCAACTATCGGTACCAATTATATCTGACATTATACTAAAACAACCAAAAAGTAAAACGGATTTTAATTTAACCAGTTCTCAGCCGAAAAACAAAATCTTATACCGGAATCACGTTAACATACAACTTTTCTAAACTCCCGGTACCAATATTCGACATTATCTGTATTGGAAAAATCATAAAATAAAATGGATAATCTTTCTTTGTTTGTAGCCTCATAGATTATTCAAAATCGTTTTCAAAAAATACATTGATAATCACACTTTGAAACGTTTATAAAAAAAATATTTATACAATAATCCATATTTTGTAATTTTGTTATAATTAAAAAAAAAAAAGAAACTATATTAAAATAATATTAACCTTTCAATTAAATTTTCAAACATGCAAACTAAAAATCTCCATTTTATTATATCTATATAACATTTAACCAACAGAGATTATTTATCTACTTAAACTGTATGATTAAATTTAATAACTGATAAAATAAAAATCGCTGAACTTATTTTAAATTTTCATTTATGATAAACGGTACAAAAAATATTACAATTTCAAAATATGAAAGTTATTAAAATCTCTAAATTTTTAATTCCTGTGCTTTTTGAAAGTAATATTACTTACATAGTTAAATGTTATTAAATTTAACGATTTTCGAAAATGTCACGTAGGTAGGTATACTCCGTTCCAAATAAGAATGCACCTGGCGGCGGACAATAATCGGTCAAAACTCGCGCAGCCGACTAACGGCGTCCAATCGTAGAGCAAATACTCAGCTAAGGGTGCAGGACGTCGCACCACGAAGGGTGCGTCTTTATACGAAACGGAGTATAGGTACTCACGTTGGTTTTCAGACTAATTAATTTCGAAGCTACAACGAAATCACAACTACCCTGTACGTAAATAACATTATGTGTTGAAAAATGTCTTTGTTTTATCAATATTAATGTTCTTTTTGACACTGTGTGAGCGCAGCAAATTACGAATATACTTCGCACTGGGTCACTGTTGTAAGTAAGAATTTGGGAAGTTAGGATATAGAGAAAAATGTATTGTATCTTTACGCAACGATTAAACATTGTTAACAAAAAATTATTCTGAGCGAAGTTCGGTTATACATGTTTTAAAAAACCGTAATAATTACGATTTTCGTCCAAATTGGATACATTAAAATTCTTCTAAAAAATTCTATATTACACTCAATTTTTAAGTAAGTACGACTTATAATGAACCTCCAGTTAAGTTTTCAAGCATTTTTGTTTGGTCTAACAGTTTTATCCATAGAGTAGATACCTATCGAATAACAATTACGTAAAAAAAACCTAGCAAAATTTAAATGTCTATAAATAGTTTAAAAATGGCTAAAATATTATGAAAACGTTTAAAAAGGACAAATATAAATTGTCTGTCTGAATGTCAGGTTTGTGCGAATATTTTTAACTAAATCCCAACAAAAAAAAATTTAAAAAAAATACATTTCGTAAATCGATTTGATAAAGACCGTTTACCGTTTCGTTTAGAAGTAGGCAACTCAAGCTCCTTCCCGTCGTACTGGTTGCAACTCAACACACCGAGCCACTTCTCGCACGCACCGGACGGCCGATATGTAGATATATGGCGACAACAACGGCAGAAAGAAAGACAGCAACAATGATGACGGATTGTGTGATCACTGTGGCGTGAATAGAAAGCCGGTGACGTGCAAAAGGAAGCAACTTATTTAACTATCTATAAATATGGGATTGGAGAAGTCCGATTTATATTGGCGTAGGAGGAAACGTTCGGTACTCGGGATTACATCAAGGAGGATCACTTACAGCGAATTATAACTAATAAAAAATACAACCAGTGTCTAAGATTCGAGACCTTCGTGTTTAAAACGGTTCGAACTTGGTAAACTACGGAACGGCCGAGTCGTTTGAACGAGTTCACTGCGGACGAAATCGACGGGCAACGACGTTCCCGGGCGATACAAGAAACGGGAACAATTTTTTTTGTTTATGACATTTATAAACAATTTAATATATTATTAAGAACAAAAACGACAATACTACATTGAAATATATTAAAAGTAAGACATAAGTATTTTGCAAAAAGAACATATTTATTGATTTATTTATTTTATTAACAATAAAAATGGCAGTGCTGAAACGTTATTTCTATGTTCAATCGTATCGTATTTTGGATACTTGTTGTTTGATTGCTTCTGTGCTCAATCAAGTTACAGCCAAAAAAAATAATGTACACACACGCGCGATTTGTTGGGTAGAACGGTAATATTTTCTTACACACCGACGTAACGATGCGAAATGACAAATGTAATAAATTATTTAATTACCAAAACAAAAAAAAAAAAAAGGTAATATTAAAAAATAAAACTATAATTACCAGTATAATGCGCCGCCGGAAACTCGGCGGCGGACGGACGAGAGAATAATATTCAATAACACGAAAACGAGCGCAGCCCACAGGCAACGGTGGCCGAGAGCTCGGACACAGTTATACAATAAAATACTTATGTAGAGTATAGATAAAGAAAAAAAAGAAACAACAATGATTTCATTAACAATTAAAACACAAATAATTGATTTGCATAATACGGAAGAGTTTGGAATAGACGATACGGAGTCCGTGCGACCCGAACCAGTTTACGCATCTTCGCCGCGCGTTGTGACGTGAACACATCTTGGTATACTTACTTTTTTTAAACATCGTTATAATAATATTATTTACCTAAACAGATATTCCCAATATCTTTTTGTAGAATGAAAGCGGTGCGAATACCGTGTATTTATCTCGAAAGTATTTAAATAAACTATAAAAACTGTTTTAACAGACTTTAAAAACTTATAATATGCGGCGAAAATACATGTTTTTAAATTTAAATTCAACGCGTATATGTATATATTTTAACGCCTCGGTTCCGTGTATGTTCGATAGAATCGGAATATGTTAAAAACCATACAACGGATACACCGATCACGAACTTTGTTGACAAGCCATCACGTGTATAATAGGTCAGGTACCACCTACACAAATTGTCAGGTTAAATAGGTAAATGCTAAACGAATTTAGTGTTGACTGTATATTTTCGAAACATAACCGCGGTAACATGCCGATTATGGTAATACGCGAAGGACGAATAGTAAAAATGATTCAACATTATTTTTTTACGTTGTAATGCAATTTTAGAAACAAAATATAGGTAGGTATATAAATGTAGAACAAAATTATAGGTATATTGAATACGAAATTATTAAATGTTACTGTATTAATTGCGTTTCTACTACAGACGTATTCTGCAATGGTGAATAGATATACGAATGAAATAGTTGTATAACAATTATTTCCATATTTCTTATAATATAGGTATTTATAAATATTATATTTTATATGTGCAGTGTTGAATATCACAAAGAAACGCTGAACGGTCGTATAAAACAAACCGAATATCAGCTAATGTTGACATCGGTTACAGTTGGTCATAGGATATGAAAAGATATGTCAGAAACGTCGACGAGTCAATGGAAATTGGAAATTCAAGAGAACGCTTTGATAGAAAATGGAGGACCCTGGTGGACGTGCGCAAAACAACTAAACGGCCTGTCTACCACAATAAAAAAAAAACCCATGACACTGCTAATGGGTGTTCTAATGTTTTAGGAGAGAAATTAAAATGGAAGATAAATAAATCATTATGATAAAACAAAGTATTATCAGTCGTATTTTTTTCCGTTGTCACCAAGGTAGGTGACCCAGAAATCAACAAAAATTATATAAAAAATTCGGTTCTTCCATTTATTAAGAAAATACCGCAAGAAAAATCAAAAAACGACCTCCTTCAATGTATCAACTAAATAAAAAATGCTACAAAAAAAATTCCTATAAAAATTTTGATTGGCGGTAATTAATACAGCCATCATTATAGTAAAACCTTACTTCGTCCAGAATCTAAAAAGCGCTTTATACTTCACCAATTTTTATTTAACCACTGATAAGTATTGAACTGCCATTCTGTATACCATAATTGCAATAATTTATATCTGCTAATTACGTATTAGATGCTATTAGCGCAACATCTATTATAGGTAAATATTATTTAAATTGTAAAAGATATTGATGTAACGAAATACGTTTCGAATAACAAAATTCATAAACATGCGATGTGGACTACGTTAATAACGCTGTTTGTTTTTGGCTGCTGTGCGGTTGTTTGCTAAAACGACATTTGTAATAACATTTGGTTTAATACAATTTTTTTTTGTTTAACCATTACACTAGAACACCTTACGAACATAAGCCGTTAAGGTTAAATTATAATACGACCGTGTATTGTATTTAACGGATAAATAAATAAAAATAATCGACTGTCGTAATAATGATGACCGTAATAATATTAAGTGCGTTATTGAAGCAGATACGCAAACAGATGACGTACGAATCGAACGTTATAAAATTATAATTAATGATGTCTGCAAAATTATAAATAGCTAATACGGCGACCGAAAAACTAAAGCTCAAACTTTAAGTGTCCCATATACGGTTTGCAGCTAACCTGTCTGTGACATACTGTCGAGTCGAACGTGTAAAAATGAAGACTCTAATTATCATTTATTGCTGTAGTACTGCGTTCTCGGTTTTACAGGTAATATTTTACGTTTAAATACTCGTGTCATAATCCATTTTAAACGGAAGTGAAACTTATACACAATGATTGGTGTAGGTATACTTAACGTTATAACACTGTATCTGCTCAATATAAAACATCATAACTAATATTGAAATATCTGTTTGATTCGTTGACTGGTTCAGTAAGTAGATACCTGTAGTCTAGATCTTGGTATATACATATGCCTAGAAATAGCTAATGAGTGAAGGTTATAATATTTTACGTCAGCTAAATCAATCACATAACTTTATATAGAATCCTAAATGCGCGGAATACAATATAAAAAGATAAATCCTATTAAATTGTGTTACAATATATGTGTACGTTTATTTTAACAACCATGTTATAGTTATTTAGGTAGCATAAAAATAATTTTACCACCTGAAGATATTTATGATTAATCATAAAAAAATACTATCCACCGTGAAGTTAGGTTTTAATTACTAAGGTATTATTATTAACATTAACAATATATTACATATGTATCTGGTATATGTATTTCAGTTGTGTGTATAAGAGAATTTTACTTATACTGATAATTGAAATATTAAAATGGAGAAATCAAATCCGTACCTTGTTTGTTTATATCTCGTAGACTACTGATTATAATTTGTTCTATAAGAGTGTTATTTAAATATTAGGATTATTCCTTTGTGTACAAAAATGAAAAAAAAAGGAAAACAGTAAACTTTAAAAAAAAATAGGTAGGTATACATTTTGTTTTGTTCAATGATGACTATATATTTTATAATTGTTTCTCAGTAAAAAGTATATAAATGTCTAATAAATAACAAAAGGCACATTAATGTTCTTAGACCTTTCTTTTTGAGTTTTATTAAAGATCCATATTTTATAATTACAACGCTCAACAATTTATGAATATTGCAACATCGTATATCATGACAATTTTATTTATCATTTTCGATAAATTAATATTCATTTAATAGGTCTTAGTTAATTATTTGGTATAGATACACATGCATAATCTTATTGTTGTACATGGAATACACCGGTAGTACATAAAATATTTGAACGAAAAATAACAAATCATAACATTTGTAATGTTTTTAATTTTGTTTTTAGATACTAAATGTCGATGGAACAGAAGTAACATCAACTTTCCAAGAATCGACGATTTCGTCTACAAACAGTACAAACGACGGATTGGTAAACGAAAATTTTCGACCCTCTCCTCCTCCCGGAAACTTAACCTTTTTATACACATACGCGTACATCGTACTGACATGCTCCGTTTAAAATTACACATTATCATTTTCTCTTATTAATTGTGGTATTTTAGATCCTGAGTAGAACGAGAAATTTATTCGTTTTACTATGATATGTGCTTATTTTTTTTTCTGACTGTGAACAACTTTTTAACCAGAATTCATGTCCCCAATAAAAAAATACCTAGAAATCTTTTTTGTTTCATTTTGGATCTAGTTGGTACATTAGGGAGGTAATTTGTTGAGTTTCAAAGCAATTTTCGTAGTAACTGAGAAAAAACAAGGTATACGAAAAACGGACAAATTTATGGCAACAAAAATTTCTTTCTTTTGATTATTTTCGATTTTGTTTTTCTACAAGAAATCTTGTAACAAAGTAGTAAAAATTAGTATCTTTTCTGAAAGAAAATTTTGACTATAGTAATTTAAAGACTAGGTCGTTTTTTTTTTTATTGTAGTTTTCTCTCAATGACTGGGGAAAATGAAAAAAAAAAACCGTAAGAAAAACGGGCACATTTACGTTTACGGAAATAAAGATTTCATTATTTTTTTTTTTTTGTAATTTAGTTTAAAATAATCTGATCTGTAATTTTTAGAAAGCACTTAAATAAGCCTTTTGTAAACATGTGTTAAATATGTTTAAAATATATTGGGCATTTTTAAGCTATTTATACAAATTTGCCATTTTCGTGTTTTTTTTTAATTTGCTATTTGATTTAATGTGGATAAAATTGTTTAGTCAAACAGAAAGGCTTGAAAATTTAATACATGATTCATTATTAGTTAAGTTTAGTGGTTAAAAAAAAAAAAGTTAAACGACATCTAGTAATGGTTTTTTATAAGCGTATTACAACTAAATTTTGACTATGATTAGAAAAATTATGGCATTTCAAATCTTGCATAACTGAATTTCGCTCAAAATCGTTTGTTTTTTTTTAAATTTGTTTTATCAATCGTGTAGTTTTAAAATAGGTATCTTAAATTATAAAATATCATCTTTTGACCCCATATACTTTTTTAATTTTACATTCTAAACCAAACATTTTTCTACTGATAAAGAAAAAGACATAAAAAGTTATATTATTTATTATTATTGTACTTTTAACGAAACTTCTATTATTCGTTTATTATTTACAAGCATTAATATTTACAAGAAATCTCAAATGCCAAGTTGAATTTCGGTGAATTCAAACTTATTTTTTTGTTTCGTAGTACAATTACTAATTATTATTAAATTTACTTGTATATTACACTTAATACAATATACAATGTATATTACATAGTATACGATTTTATAATTTCTATAAACAATTATCACTTTTTTATTATTTGTTGTTTACTACTTTTTACTCTTTTTGGTATTTTATAATTTTATATTTGTAGGTTACCGAAATTACTGAAAACGTACAACAAAACGTATCTTCAATATCACCTCCAGGGGAGTTAAAAAAAATTAGAAGAAAATGTAACCGCGCAAGCGTCGTTGATAATCAATTAGATGAAACTTTAACGAGCAACAATGCGCTGAGAAATGGCACTGAACAACTGATAATCACTAACGGTCAAAAAGAGGAAAATAGCACTGATCAGCTGTCAATTGCTGGTGATCAACAGAAGGTCGACGATTCACTTCATTTAAAACTATTCAAAAGACAACAAAGTAACAATGATAGTGATGATACAGGAACTAATTTTAGAGTGTCGTCGTCAAGTTCAGACTTGGGATTAAATTCAGATAACATTATGGGGTTAGGATCTACGGTATCTTCGGTGTTACCTACCTTTGGAATTAACGCTCAACTACCCTCAATTTCCAGCACTATGACACCGCCTAGTTTTAAAGTTAACACAAATATGGGTGGATCGTCAAGTACATCATCAAGTAGTAGTGGAACAGACGGTCAAATAGGTGTTGAATTTGGTGGAATGGGGGGAATGGGAGAAATTAGTGCTTCGGGTAAAATGGGAGAAATGAGCGCTTCAGGTGGGATAGGAGGAATGAGCGCTTCGGGTGGGATAGAAGGAATGAGTGGAATAGGTGGCTCGATGGGTTTTGGTGGTTCGGGTGGTATGGGCGGAATGGGTGGAATGGGTGGAATGGGTGGTTCGATGGGTTTTGGTGGTTCGGGTGGAATGGGCGGAATGGGTGAAATGGGTGGAATGGGTGGTTCGATGGGCTTTGGTGGTTCGGGTGGAATGGGTAATATGGGTGGAATGGGTGGTTCGGTGGGTTTTGGTGGTTCGGGTGGAATGGGTGGAATGGGTGAGATGGGCGGAATGGGTGGTTCAATGGGTTTTGGTGGTTCGGGGGGAATGAGCGGAATGGGTGGGATGAACGGAATGGGTGGTTCAGTAGGCATGGGTAGATTTGGTGGTCCAGGTGGCCCCGGTGGTCCTGGTGGTCCCAGTGGAATGAGCGGAATGAGTGGAATGAACGGAATGAATGGTTCAGTAGGCATGAGTAGGTTTGGTGGTCCCGGTGGCCCCGGTGGCCCTAGTGGCCCCGGTGGTCCTAGTGGTCCTGGTGGTCCTGGTGGTCCAGGTGGTCCTGGTGGTCCAGGTGGTCCTGGTGGTCCAGGTGGTCCCGGTGGACCGAATGGATTCGATATATCAGGTAGATATGGAATAGGCAGATACGGTAGAATGGGTCTATCATTACCCAATGTTAATGGCCAGGTTGGGATTAGTAGTGATAACGGAATGGGTGTCACTGTTGGATATGGTGGAAGAAGGAGAATGCTACGTCGCCCACGAATCAGTGGTGAATTACAAATGAATGGAACACCAATCACAGTATCGTATAATGCGAGTACGAAATAATTAAATTATGATTTATTTTTTGTTTGTTTTTTTATTCGTTTATTCAAAAGAAGATTGGCCTTTTGATGTATACCTGAATTGATATTATAATAATTATTATTATTATTATTATTGTATTCGACACTTAACATCAATAAATATAAGTCCATTATTCCTCGTGTTTGGTTTTTTTTTTTATTTATAAAGTTCCGTATAGTGTATCGAAACCTTATTATCATAAATTATGATAACTTTGTTCGTATGTCAGAAACCTTCAACTTCAAAACGAAATATAGACTCGTAAACTATTTAAATACAACTATTTTAATAGTCTTCAAGTATTCAAACACGAATTTTAAATACTTCTACAAATATTATTGGATTTGTTTTTTAAATATTGTTCAAAGGTGTATTTTTAGAATCGAATACTTATTTTAGATACTTTAATCATTTTTAAAAATGTTTTCCAAATTTAGAGTGAATCGTGTTTTATCATGATAGAAATTCAATTCATGTTTGAAATCAAAATTTTAAATTGTATTGCCTGTGCAGANATTAAATCAGTATTATACTAATGGTACCTATTAAACAAAAAAAGCTTAATGTTAACGACTATTCCTATAGGTTAATATTTTAAAAAAAAAAGTATTTGGAAATATTTATAAATACTTTTCAAAAGTATCGGAATTCACACTCAAATATTATTTTATTAATTTACTCAAATACGTATTCTAAATATATGTATTTTAAAATAATATCTGTATTTTTACTCAAAATATATTTTAGGAGTCTAATGAAATGAGATATCGACTTTCAAGTTGAAATAATTCACATATTACGTACTACGTAAACGTTGTATAATTATTAGTATTATGTTACATTATTCACATATGCAATATATTATTTTTTATTACACCAATCAAGTTTTACACTTTGCCGCATAATATTATATCTTATACCACAGAATAAAATAATGAAATTAAATTTCATAAAAGATCATCTATTCGGTAATAAAATTGATTGTATACATAAGTTGATTCCCTGCATTGTTGTATATCAGTAATATGATAAACGTATATAATATATTAAATGAGCACTTCAGCCTATTAGCGCTACCCAAGAGACACCACGAGGAGGTTGACTCACGAGTCTCTCAAACATTTTCTTCTTTTTAGTTTTTTCATATTTTGAATCATGTAAGGTTAACTTGACCATTTTGATTTATCTATCAACTCGTACGTTCCTCTTATTAGCCACGGAATCAATTCACCGATATCGGTGCACGTAACCTGTACCCGAGAATCAACTCACACACAGTCGATATACAAATCCGTGGACCACAGTAAGACACTGTGTGTAAATAAATAATAGCATAATTCTTCCGAACCTTCCCGACCCCTCCCTTAATCCGGACTTATAACTGATAAAGACAATAGTCATACGTATAATATACAGTTGCATGCTTTTTATCATTCCTATCACTAATAATAAATGTATATGCATAGTTAATATTTTATTTAAATGAAAAATAAATAGATTTATTATAAATTAATATAATATATGGAATAATTAACACTCATATATGACAATTCGCAAATAGTACCTATACTAGGTAACACATTTCGATTCTTTTTTTCAGACGTATACATACATATTATGCTATGCCTGTGAAACTATACAAGTATTTTGTGTTACTCCAAACATTATTGTTAAAAAAAAAATATTACATTAAAAATAGTATTACTATATTATACATAACATACTCTGTTAATAACCAAAAATTAATTGTACTTCAATTTTGTTCATAATATAATACAATCATTATTATTCTTGGTACCTACTTATTTTACTTATTTACCCACCTGCCTATTTAATTTAGCCGCTCGACAATTATATAAATTAGCATTGGTACCACTTACGGGCGTTCATAATTGTTATAAAAAAACAATAAAATAAACTACAAAAATGTTGTAATGAACACTTGCGTGTTTGGCGGTTAATTGGCTTCGGAATATTACGTATAAAAACCAAAGTAAACGACGAAAATAATTAAATTGTGTGCGACGCTATAACTGAAATAAATCAAGATGAATGCATTCTACGTAATATTATTATGTATGGCTATAACGGCTTCACAGGTAGATAACTAACAATAATATAATATGTTATTAATTATTATTATAGTATTTTTTTTATCAATAAAAGAGTAAACTATATGTATTCTTAATGAAAATTAGTTTTCATTTAAATTTTACTCTAATAGAACCGTTCATTTTGTTATTCTGTAGAAAAAAAAAATGATTTATTGTTTATTATAATATGAGCCGCTTGTTCTTTGCGATTTTGAATTATTAATTGAGTTTCCCAACTATAATAATGTAATATGATTTGCAAAAATGTAATAGTTGTTTTTTATATGTATGTACACATTTTATAATATATTCTCCAAATTATGTTTTAGGTTTCAGGTCTTTCTATCGACGATGTATACGCGCAAAACGAGGTAAATATACCTACTATTCAAACATGCTTCCTTGTAGATTTCTGAAAAGAACCGAAAGGGGTTGTCAATATGCTTTATACCTAATCTTATCAACTTGTTCAGAACAATTCGTTGACTATTCCTATACTACACTAGCTGGCCTTTTGGACCGAGTCGCATTGGGCTGACATAAATAAAGGTCTCCGGGTTATATTTTACAGGTCAAAGAGACTTAAGACCTGCGGTCGTCACTCAACACAATTTAACAACATTAGAAATAATTTAAAGTACAACTAATAAATATTAAAATAATATTATAAAAACGCTTGAACCGAGTAATCTTGATCTTCTAAGATAGTTATAGCAATACCAAGTAATGTTGAGTACGAATTGTATGTGATGATAATTTAGAAGCCATATTAGAATAATTATACACGTGACGATATTATTAAGACCCAAGGGCGGATCTAGGACGAGATAACTGATGGGGTGCTATTTTTAAAATTCATATAAGGCACGCATTTATGACGAGCTCAATGATAAATCAAGCAAGGAATATATATATATAATACAACTAAGAATATATTGGATAATGAACGAGGGGAGGGGGGGGGGGGGATCGCCACTATTGCTCACCCTCTGGATCCATCCCTACTAAAATCACCATATAGTTATACTTATATATATATATGTAAAAATACAATATTAATACATTTTCAGCTGTTCATTTAAATATAATATAAATATCGTATGAACAATTTGAACTAATATCAAAATGTTAGTATAATATTATTAGGTACTAGAAAAATTAACCGAATTTTCTCGAAAACATAAAACGGTACCAATGGATTCCTTATGCTTAGCAAAAAAATTGTTTTATATTTCTTTCAGTTTACAAACTATTGTAAAAAGTTTATATTTACATGAAGTCTATATAAAGTTTACATGTACTCCTACAATCTATAATCAACATTAATTCAAGGAAGTGTTTATTTGTCTGTGTTTTTATTTTGTCTTTATACGATCCACAAACAAATATGTCGTATGCAGAGGTCTGAAAATATGTATAGAAAAGAGAATGAACGGGTCTGTGTGAACTTCAAAATCGGATTTCCGAAACTCAACCCCTTAAAAGTGGCAATCCTTACGCAGGATTTTTAGTTTTATTTTAACAAAAATTGCAGTTTTTTTTTTCATAATCTTGGTGACATGGATTAAAAAACTTTAAAAAAAAAAAAAGTTATAAGTTAATTGCGTTGTCACAAGCAAAGAAGTATCTAACCTTTAAAAAATTTAAAAAAAAATCATTATTAAAAAGATACACGTGGCTGACACAGGGAAACAATAAAAGACACGTTTCTATATAACATTATATATTTTTATATATTTTTTTTTTTCGTTCAATACTGTGCACGGGCAAAGCCATACTGACAGCAAGTAGTATAATATTAAATATTTTAATTATCAATAACTCTTTGTTGATGTAGGTTAATGGATTATCCGGCGAAATGCAGTATCCTACAATTTCACCAGCTATAGAAACTGCAGATAGCGTCCAGTTGACACCTCCGTTAAGCACTCCAACTGCAACGACGCTCGAAGAAGAAAATCCGAAACTTATGAACGTTGAGGACTTTTAGATTAGATTAGTTTAGTGCATCGAATTTGAGCGTTTTAAATTAGTATGTAGGTAGTTATGATTTGTGTTTGTTATATTATTGTGTTCAAATTTTAACGATTTGTTTTCAATGTTCATAATCAAACCAAACAATTAGTATTGTAAAATAAAAAAACAACCAATCAAATATAATAAAACATACATACCTATGTAATATATTTATAGAATTATAATATATACGTCTTTACTTTATACTTATTTCTACCTATCGTTCTTATACTTGTACTAAACAAAATGTATTACTTTTCTATGCTCACGGGTAACGAAAAAATATAGTGTACTCGTATTATCATCAACTAGGTATAAGATAAAATGTTTAACTGAGCCTTAAGAATATTAGGAACTAATTTTAATTTGTACGCACATATTGCGTAAATAAAATTTCATAATTACCATTATTTTTACCAACATTTCTCCAACTTTTCATTTAAGGCCACATCTGATGACCGTTTTATGTCTATTTCTACTGTTTAAACAAGAGTTTACATAGTAGGTAGGACAAGCAAAGAAAATAGTCTGATACTACAACGGGTGTGGCACTATTGTAAATGGGAAGTTAAGAAGGTAGGATACATAGAGTTGATTAATTTTTATTCGTATGGAACGATAAATCATTGCTAACAAAAAGCGATTCTGGGCGAAGTTTGATAAACGATATTTTTAAAAGCCGTAATTTCTATAATTTTCACCAAAATTTGAACTTAAAACGCTTATAAAAACCTATTACATCACGTTAAACGTTTTATTTATTATCCAAGTACATCTGACCCAAAACGATTGTACTCATATACACTTAAACCGCACACTGGTTGATAGTGACCCCCTTTGTCGAAAGAACAATGACTTCCTGGGTTCAATTATTTATTTTACAATGTAAAAAGTATGTACATGTTGTGGGGAGTGTAAGGGTCGACTGGCCATACTTGATAGCGTTCCAAGACGGGCTAATGAGCCTCGGTTAGTATGAAAATTGATGACAATAGATATACAACCAAAAGTGGTGAAATACCATCGTACAAAAGTGGACGGAGCGGTTGTAGTTTTAAACTCCAAAAAATGTTTATTATTTTACAATAATTAAGATAAATAATTGTTGAAAACCCAATGTATTGTACTATTTGTGCAACATACTTTGAATTCGCGAACCAATAAATATGTTATTAAACTATAATACTATATGTCTATATAATATATTGACTTCACAATATTTTACTACGATGATACTACAAAACTGCAAAATATACATACTTGTAAAAACTAAAAATATTGATATGCATCAAAATAAAATATTATGATCGCTTGATACGAACATACGACTTCAATCATATATTTTAATTTTTAAGTCTATTAAGGGTACGATTCTTTTCTTGGACATTAAAATCGATCGGACGGTCAACTAATATAATACTAACCTATTATAGGTAAATACAAACAAAGTGCAACGAATAGTATTTGTGTACAATAGTACAATATCAATAAAAATAGTAAATTCAGTTGAAAAAAAGTTCTAGGGTTTAACCCCTCCCCCATCCAAAAATGTCTTCATCCTCACAACATTTTTTTTTTTTCAGTTATAGTATAGATAATTGTTACGGTTGATTTTAGTACAATTAAAAAAACATTTGTGATAATCATGGGCTAAGATAGGTACCACGGTTATTTACACATTTTGATAACCGTGGTACGTAAAGATATGATAGAAAGCTACATTTGTGAAATATTCTATGGCCTATGCCTCTATGGAATATGCATATATTATTTTTAAGTATACCCTATCGTATTCCGTGATGATATCGAATCGTATTGTAGCAATGCAACAGTTAAGAGCATGTTTATTGTAACGTTGTAAGTATAAATAAATATGAAATTGTTATTAATTAACTTTTAAAACTATGTATATTGTTTAGTTATTTTATTATTAGGATTTGTGCTTTAAATATTATAACCAAATATTTTATTTCATAATTATCAAAATAAGTACAAGATCTTAAGAGTTAAGAAAATATAAAAATATAAAAAAGAATTTGAATGAATAATTGTGTGTTTTAATGTCGGTATTATTTACTAGTTCAGTTATAGATTGAGAGGCGTGGGGGGCTTCGCCCTCCATAGGTCTATGATGAATCTATAGTGAAAACTCTAACCGAACTAAAATCATGCGTACTCTACTGAGTATGACTCATCAATTTTGTTATTAGTTAGTTCTAATTTTGTACAAAAAATTAAACAATGACAAAAAAAAAAAAGCTGTCCTAGGATAATGGGGACGGGTGCAGACACTGTTATAGATAAAAAGTTGGTAAGTTAGTAAATCGAAAATTTAATGTAAATCTGTAAGTAACGATAAACCATTGCTAACGAAAAAAACGATTCTGAGTGGACTTTGGTTACTTACACATGGTTTAAAAGGAAGTAATATTTACGATTTTCGTCAAAATTTGATTTTAAAATGCTTATAAAAATAATAAATTATAATACCTCATTTTTTTTTTTTTTACCACCAAGTGTTACTTATAATTTATCTTCTCTCAAATTTTCAAGAATTTCTATTTAGTTTAACAATTTTTTCCACAGAACTACTACCAAATAACAATTACGTAAAAAATTTGCAAAATCAAATATCTATAAATAGCTTAAAAATGACATCTAAATATTTTACCACTCTAACAAAGCCAATTATAAGTGTTTTGTCAAAATTTCAAATCTCTACAAATATTCATAATTGAATAACAACAAGAAAACAAAATTGAAAATAATAAAATAATTATTTTCGTAAATTTTCTCGTTATTTCTATGTTTTTTTTTTTCGGTTTTGCTCAATTATTAAAAAAATTATATAGAAAATCAAAAAACGCTTTTTTTTTGGCTAAATTCAAAATTAAACAAAAAATAATTTTGTATTTTTCATATCTGAGTAATATTTATGGAAAAATGTAAAACAATGAAATCGTAAGATGTAAATTTGTTCTTTTAAATTTGATTTTTTTAATTATTATGAAAACTGTTAAGAAAATCAAACAACTTACCTACCTCATAAGCAACCAAATCTCAAACTCAACAAAAAAAATGTTTTCGTTTCTCTTTTGAAAAATTATTTATGGTAAAAACATAAAGGAACATAACGCCGTAAATTTATCTGCAGTTTTTATTTTTCGTTTTTTCCCGGTTTTTCTCAATTATTATGAAAACTACTTGAAAAATCAAAAACGACTTTCTTTGTGCACATCTCGAACGATAATTAAACAAAAAATGTATCTTTATGGTTAAATCTAAAATTTCTGGTATAAATATAGTTATAATATTAAAAACAATGAAATCGATAACGATGTGTAAATATTTGTCATTTTACCAATACTTTTTTTCCGATTTTTCTGGATTATTTTTAAAACCCCATGAAAAATCAAAAAATAACCACTCTATTGCATCAACTAAATGATAATCCTAAAGAAGCGTCAAATATGTTTATTAATTGTTTTAAAGACGTTGGTAATAGTTTAGCTAAAAAATTCAATAAACATCTTATCTAGTTTTGAATAAGTACGATAATAATATTCTATGTTCTATTGATAAGATCTTTTTAGAAAAAATTAATGTATCGTAATTAAGAATATTTATACAAAACTTTAAAGATGATATTGCTGTCGGATATGATAAGGTAACATTTTAAAAGTATTTCCGGGTTAAATATTACACCGCTTGTCTATATTTATAATTTGAGTATAGTAAATAGTATTTTCCCGGATAACATTAAAATCACAATTATAAAGCCTATACTTAAAGGTGGCAACCGTAAAACCATAAGTAATTATAGACCAATATCAATGTTAACCAACTTCTCCAAAATATTTAAGAATACAATCAAAACAAGGCTGATTTCTTACCTAGAGAAAAATAACTTATTATCTAAAAACCAATATGGATTTCAACCAGACCTAAAGCACTGAAAATGCCTTATATAATGCAACTCAATTTGTATATGGTTCTCTGGGCCTTGAAACGATTTCTGTTGTTACATTTAGCAAAAGCCTTTGATACTATTCAACATGATACCCTATAACAAATCCTACAGAATTTCGGGATAAATAACAAAAGTTTCTTCTAGAGAGACAGCAAACTAGCAGACCTCTCTAACAGACAATTAAATTATGTTATAAGCAACGCAAGTTTTATTAAATATAGTGTCCCGCAGGGTAGTCTTCTAGATCCCATCTTGTTCGTGTCATACATTAATGCATTTTGTAATTTAAATATTGATGGCGAAATAGTGACCTATGCAGATAATACCTGTCTGTTATTTTCGGAAAAATCTTGGGAAAGGGTATACCTCAGAGCAACGGAAGCTCTAAATTTAACGTACAAATACATAAGTAAACTGGGTTTAACTACGAATTCCGATAAAACAACGTATATGAAGTTATCTGTAAATAAGATTACTAATGACGAATTCTCTTTAATAATTAATAATTGCAAAACTAAATAATATACAAAATTGTGTATTCTGTGAAAATATAAGATTTCAACGATTATTTGTATTATTATTATTACCAAATTATAACGAAAAACATAACCCACAGTAATTAAACCGATAATTTATAAAAAAAACTTCCCTGCATTTTCCACGTTTTTCCCCAGTTTTCTCAGTTATTAAGAAACTCGGAAAATCAAAAAACGACTTACTTATGCAGCCAACATTTTCTTTTAGAAAACATTCTGCTGTTATTAATTGATTCAATTTTTTGTTTTGGTATAAAACAAAAAAGTACAAATTTAAAATTATGAAATCATTCACGCTGTAAATGTCCGTTTATCTTTTACCTACGTTGTTTACCGAGTTTCCCCAATTATTATGAAAACCGGTTGGAAAATTAAAAAATCTCCTGAATGCACCAACTAGATCTAAAATGCAACGAGAAATTTCTCTTGTCATATTTTTGTTTAGATTATAAGATTTCTGGTATAAAAATTGTTCAGAGACTAAACAAAAATATAAAAAATGCACACACTATAGTAAAACCAATGTATTCCTCGATACGCTCAAAATCTAAAAATAATGATTCCGCATATTACAGTCCGACTATACTATCAATGCCTAACATTATAACCTATTTGAGTTAATATATTTAATACCTCTCATTTTAAAAGCTATTAATAACGGAAAAATTCAAGTTTGTGTTTTATATTATTTTCAAAACTATTAATTGATTAGCTATTATAGTTCTAACAAAATGTGATATTTAGAAGCCTAAAATGACGAAATAATTTGTAAAATAAAATGTGCATAACATTTTTTTTCAAACAAATTGCAAAATTAAAATAATTACCTATGTGTTTTGATTTCCATAACAAAAAAAAAAAAAAAAAAATGTATTTGGCTAAATTATGTAAAATACAGTAAAAGTATAAAAGAAACAATAAAGCAGACAATAATTATGAAGAAAACATGTTTTACCTGTATGCTGAATGTGACATATAAATACTTAAATGAAAGAAAATAAAAAATACAGTTAATTCTAAATATAATATATGAGTATATGTTCTTTGTACCAATGCTTTAGCAAAACATCAAGATGAGAGTATTATTAATAGTATGTACGACCATAACAATTTTGCAGGTAAGAATAATATTTTAGTGTAAATAAAATGATTTTATTAAATATAGTAAACTTCACGTCAAAGTCAACTTAATATAATTTCCCTAAAAAAAAAATATGTACACATTATACATGTCGCATCCATATCGCGTTATTGTCCATTTCGCGAAATGGACAACGTTTGCATCAACGTTTAGATACAGTTCCGCGAAATGGATACCTAAACTTTACACAACGGAACTTGTTCCGTCATTTGGATGTCCATAACGCGAAATAATAAATTATTATTATTTATTTAAACCGTATGTATACCAAAGGTTTTTTGGTTGGTATGACAATATTCTGATCGGTTGATCATAAATGACGATCACAAAATTATTTTTTAGTTTTATCTACTGTAAAAACATTACTTCTTCAAATTATGTATTCTGAATATTACTTAATCCATAAATAATCATAATAATATTGCCCCAATAGTAGGTATGCAAATAATTACGAATAGGAAATTGGAAAATTGCCCATGTGGCCGTGTGATTTTCTTAGCACACGGGTTGTTATCAACGAAAATCAAGATAATAGGTACTAATTATAAATAGCTGAACATTTTGTTTATTGGCTTAAAAATACTCAAACATATTTTATCATCATCAAACATCGTATTGCCAAATATTTTAGATAATGAGCAACAATGAGAAAATCGATCTGTTCAATGATGGACAATGTGAATCTCTGTATGTTGTTGTAACGTTGTTGGGACGCTTCCGGACGTTTTATGGTCCCCCTACCATTCATACCGGCGCATCGCGACGATGCGTTTCATGGCTCCCGTAGCGTCGCCATGCGCCGGTTCCAAAACCTTGAAAGAAAGTTCCAAACTGACGACGCGTTGTACACCGCACATAAACAATTTATGTGCGAATACCAAACATTAGTCTATTTATGGCGTTGGCTACAGAACCCGGTATCTACCTTATCCCTCACCATCCGGTATTTAAATCCAACTCTCCGCTGAGCAAACTTCGAGTGGTCTTCGACGCATCTGCAAAGTCTACAAGTAAACTATCACTAAATCAGTGTTTGTATGCCGGCTCTAGATTACAATTGGATATTGTGGACATTCTAGTTCGGTTTCGCGTCCATAAGTTTACGACGAACTAATATTTTTACTAAAATTTAGAAATTGTTGTTTTTGTAAATTTGTATAATTATTTAAAACATATTTAAAGTTAATCACTAATAAGTTAAGTTTAGGCTATATCATACTTCGAAAAAAATTACTCAACTACAATTAATGAGTTTACAATACAAAATACTATACTTTGTATTTTTTTTTCGTTTACAACAAATGTTTAATTAATATTTTTATATTAACAATAACGTACAAATGTGTTTTAGATTTTGGATGTTTCTATAACGGGGGTTTCGGCAAACCCAACTGATTTTAATGTAAGTAGATAATTTTTTTTATAAATACTTTATTTATTTATTTAAATATTCTTAAAAGTATAAACATTTACATTGAATAATCATGCATTTTATTGTTTTGTTGAAGTAGTTACTTTCAGTTATAAAATATATTAAATAGACACTTACTGTATTTCATATGTGACGATAATAGTAATATACCTATGTATCAACTATCAATCGTACAACCTATTGTATAGTCTATAAAGATCAATGAATTTCAAAAAAGATTTTGTAGGTATCTATTCGAAATATAATGGTCGATAATTTTTAATACTTAGGAAAGTAGAAAGAAACCGTCTAAAGACAAAACAACGACACTAAAAGCATTGAAATCTAATAAAACTTTTAAAAAAACCCCTATTGACGATGAAACAGATGTAACAAGTTCTAGTGAAAACGAACTAAATGAAAAAACTATAAGTAGTTCAGAAGATGAAGATTATGAAGAAAAGCCAAGAGAGAAACGGACACCGAAAACGGTTAACGGTGCAAAGAGAAATCTAAAAAAGACCACTAGAAAAGAATCTAAGAAACTTAAAGTTGGTCTTTTAAACAACGCTGCTGGATTATTGTCAGTTGGCAGTCAATCGATATTAAATATAGGAGAACATGTTAAAGGGCATGCAAAAAATGTGCATTCATTAGGTAAGGACACTTTAGACATGGGTAAAAGTTTGGGAAATAATGCAACGAAGAGAACAAAACAATCAATGAGAAAATTTAAAGAAGTCGGTAATGTGGCTACAAATCAAGTATTCGATACAGTGGATCATACGGCAGACTTAACTAAGAATATAATTCGAGTAGGAGGAACCGTTGTTAATACACCGGTCTCTATCGCAAGCGACACTGTTGCCATAACACATGGTGTTGTGGGTGTTCCGAAGAAAATAGTACGTAAAGCATCAAACACTATACTGCCACTTTTAGGAGTTTCAGAGAATGATAATAGTAGCAATAAAAATAAATTAGAAGAAAAATCAGATAATGAAGAAGAACCATCAGAAGAAGAAAAACTAAAACCAGAATTACCATCAAAGCGCTTACAGAAAAAACGTGCAGTTAAAAAACCAGCGGTAGAACCAGATGAAGACGAAGACGAAGAAGAAGAAGAAGAAGAAGAAGAAGAAGAAGAAGAAGAAGAAGAACAAGAACAAGTACCACCATCAAAGAATTCTAAAAAAAAACTTCAAGCTAAAGAAACAGAAGCAGAACCAGATAATGAAGAATCATATAAGACGGTGAAAAACCAGTACAATCAACAAAGAGTTCAAAAAAAAAGAATGCCGTTAAAGAACCAGTAAAAGAAAAAAAAGAACAGTCAAAAAATAGTTCAACAAAATAGACAACCGTTAAAAAAAAAAAAATAGTAAACAAACAACGCTAAAACAGTAAACGAATTTGATTAGCTCGCATTTATACCTGAGTGATTTAATATTATTTCATTGAACAAATTATAAAATATAATTGTTGATCGAGATTAAACATTAATATCCAAATATAAATGTTAATAATATCGATTTTCCATTATTATTTCCATTTCTGTTTATGTTCAAGTTAATACGACTTAAACAAACTTCTTTGAATATAAAATTTTCAAAAATTGTTAAATTTTTTTCAAGATACACCTATAAACCTGTTGATATTTTGTATGATAAACAAGATGCAAATATTATTGTCAAAATAAATACGAAATATATATTTAAAAATAAAAATATATAAACAGTGTTTTCTATAGTGTTACACTAGAACTTATAACCTAGTAAAAATACTGTATAATATAGTAGATACACTACTATAATAAATTTTACAGTTAACAATATGGTATAAAAAAATATGATTACTGATCGAAATATCTCAAGTAATAAAAACAACTCTCAAATAACCAAAAATTACGTAACATATAACACACTTATCAGTGGTGTCTGTACAAAATCCCATTGCTAAATTCTCGACCGGACAAAAAAAAAAAAAAAACTGAGGACTAGAGGATTAAACAAACTACCCAGTAAACTTATTTTTCTTCACACTTTACCAGACTTTAAACTGGTAGGATCGATAATGAACTTCAAAGATATTTACGTTTAAAATTCATTAAAATTCCTCATTTCTTTCTTCAAATTAAACACACCCGAATAGAATTATACCAGGAAGCTAGTATTTTTTCATTAGAATTTAAAATTTAAATAAAAAAATTAAAAACGTTCAAAACAACTTTTAAACTCGCCCGTTAAATGAATTTCAAACGTGTATCTTTGAAATTCATTAATTATCAGTCAGTAGTGGATTCAGAGTGAAGGTCAGGGCCAAATTTTAACATTTTAAGACCCGTAGAAAATGAAAAACTTACGTCCATTTCAGGGAAATTACCTAGTAGTTGTTTTTTTTTTTTTTTTTTTTTTACGAAAAATCAAGCACACTTACACAATAGTGTTACAAACCATTTATAAATTAACAAATTAAATTAATTAATAATTTTATAAGCACTTCTTAATGATGTATTTGAAACTTAAATCTGTGGTCAACATTTCTAAGTTTCAAGTTTAGAAATAATTATTATTGGTAATAATAACATGTGCGAATTATTTATTAACAAATCTAAAGTATTTGATTCTTATTTTTAATACAAAAAGCTTTATGAAAGTGAACAATATACATTTTAAATATTCGTTACAATCAAAACGTATAGTACGGAAAAGGTACAATGAAACAAAAATATAACTAGATACTGAAAATTTTAAGATAATAATTAATACTTATGGTTTAAATGTATGTATTAAAATATGTACATTCCACATTCTCCAAATAACAAAAGGCTAATTTTAATATTTAAAACTTTATTTTTCTGGCTTTAACATTTTACCATAATATAACATATATATTGTTGATAAAGCATCACTATCAACTGAACTCCACTCAGGATCGTTTAAATACATTTAATTACCTATAACAGTGACTGGACACGTCCTCATTATCCTAGGGCAGCTTTTTTTTAATTTTAAAATTACATAATTTTATAGGTTAGCACCGGTGCTTACAGACATAAATTAAATAACTTTATGTATCATAACTTCCTACTACCACTGGCAAAGGAAGTTGTTTTTTGATATTCAAATTAGTTTTCATAATAATTGGGAAAAAACAAACAATTTAAAATGATTAATATTCTTAGCAACTTGGCATCCCGATTTAATAATTTTCATTTTAGCAAACGATGTTTACTACCAGAAATCTCATTCCAATTTAAAAATAAGAATAGATCGATTTTGTTCCATTAACTAATATATAACTACTGTCAAAGAATGTAATTATATGATATCTGAAGTATTTTTCACGATAATTGTAACAGGTTTCATCCTCTCTACTTGTTTTTTGTGGAAGGAAGGGGGGATATTTTCCGAATGTGGTTTTTGCAGCGTGATTTTCTCCTTGATTCTTTGTCCTTGTATTTGAACGAGTTCAGTCGATTATGAGCCCGCCTTCCCAAGTATACTGTAATACATTAATATTTATAATATAAACTAGCAAAGTGACGTAGTAAGTACATTACCAGTTTCATCGCCAAAATATCAACGTTGCCACATAAATACGCAATATAATTATTACACGACTAATTACACGCATTGTTCACATACAGGTACCTCCCCCCCCCGTAGCCACTGCAGTGATCATATGGAAGCTGCCAGAGTAGGGACCGCGTATTGCATAAGACGTGAGACACATAAATCTTTTCCAACGAATTTTCACTTCTCTTAGTTCGCCCAGCGGAAGCACTCTTTTTTACTCACCTAAAATCTTTACCAATTATATTTTTCCAAACCTATACAGCAGTTGCAGATACCATAGGCGGGCTGCTATATTTGGTTAATCCATATTTCCTTAAAGCTGGTACTTATTGTCACCTTATTCTCTATTACACACGTAAACGTATTCATTTATTTTTTCTTCATCCCCTTTTACACACAATACATTGCATTTGACTGACTCGGGCACGATCTTAACATAGCGCAGTTCCTGGTCGTCAGTCAGGACAAACAGTTGTCTGTACATTTGCGTTCTCACCAAATTTAATCACAACGATACGTTGGTTAGCGATTCGTAACATTAAACAGACGATTCTCCCGTAAGTTGTCACTTATTAGTGACCCGACATCCGAGTATAGCTATATAAATATTTATTGGTCTAGTGGACTTGGTGAAAAAACAGTTAGGAAATTGACTTGTGTTTATTGTAACAACTCATCGAAACCTACACATCCTTATACATGCTCCTTAAATTTTGAACAACGAACTTCTTGCGAATTTCAAGCAGTATGCCGGGGTAAGTGATTATTTCCATGTCTCGTAGTAGAACATTGAGTAAAAAAATTAGGTAGATGCAAATAAATTAATAAAAATAATCTCGTGCGGTAGATAGCTGCCGGTCAATATTAAATATAATACATCTATACATTAGTAGGTATATGTCGCGATGATAGCCGTATAATAAACACACACACACACAGAACGGTATATACACATATTCATCGATGAACAAACCGCCATGTATCCGTATTGTAAATATTACGCAGTAATAATATCATTTCACACCATATACACCTAGGTATCTATTATATTTGACTATTCATCTCTCATCCTCCACACCATACAATTCTACCTCTATTTTATTTTTACTTTTGATTTTTATTCTACTATAATACGATGATGTATGTACTATATTATACGTATTCAATTCAAGTTTATTATTGTGCAAAGTTTCATACATAAAATAAATATCCGACAAAACTTTTGACTAGGAATCCTCTTCAACCAGCTATCAAAATTAGTGTTACAGTCGGTACAAACACCAAAAACATTACTCGTACGGTGACTGACTGTATTGCTCGTTCTCCATTTTTATTTTTTGTTTCGACATTTTATTGAACCGATAATATACACCATAAACTATTTCTTTTTCTTCTAGACTCCATTCATATAGCATTGTTATATTTTTTACTTTAATGCTTAGATAATATAAAAATTGGTTTTTAATGAATAATCCGTTTAGTTTAAATAACGGTATAGCGAACTGAAATAAAAATATTATGATTATGAAACATTTACATAATCAAATTAATGATATTATTTTAGTTATTTATTGCAACAATATCGGTCAATACGTGATGATTTTAGATTCTGAGTAGAGCGAAGAAACTTAGTTTTACAAAGATATTTATTTTTTTTAGATTTTGAGTGGAACGAGCAATATATTGGTTTTACAATGTTTATTTTTTTATTTATTTTTTCTATGTAAACACTTTTTCTACCAGAAAGGATACTCCGATTATCAAGTATAGCACCTTTTAAGAAAGTCGATTTTTTCTAGGTGATACTTTAAAGAGGTCATTTTTTGAAATTCTCATTAATGTTTATATTTATTATTTTTTATTATTATTAAGATTTTAATATTTTTCAAACAATCATTGTTGTACTGGAAACACACATTATTTTAATTATTTTAGCATAATATAACAGAATACCATATATTTTATTGTTGACAAAGCAACATTATCAACTGAACTCGGCTCAGAATCGTTTTTTGTTAGCAATGGTTTATCGTTGCTTACAGATTTTCATTAAATTCCCGTCTGTAGCCTACCCTCCCATCTTCCAATCTGCAACAGTGGCTGCACCCCAATGTGAAGTATGTCGTCCTTAATTATTATTATTATTTTTTTTTTATCTGCTTGCTACTTTTTTGCGCACAGATTTTTAACACTTTATATGAAAGGAAATCGGTATAGGGAATGAACTTTAGGGAGGTCAATTTTCGATTATCTTAAGAGTTTTCTCGTCAAATGTGAAAAACCGAAAAAAAAACAGGAAAAACGGGAAAATGTACGAAATATATTACTAAAATATAACGATTTTTTTTCTGTGTATAATTTATTTACCAGTAATTTCGCTTCAATTTTTAGTGACAACAATGTTTCTAAAAAGAAATTCGACTGGGGAGGTACTTTAAAGATTCATTTTTCGATTTTCTCGTTTTCGCAAAAAATGTAAAAAACCAGGAAAATCTATACAACATTAAAAAAATATTATAAAAGAAAATATATAAAGTCTATTTAATAATTTTACGATAATATGGCATATATATTGTTGACAAATCATCACTATCAATTGAACTCCGCTCAGAATCGTTTTTTTATAAGCAATGGTTTACCGTTGCTCACAGCTATACATTAAATTACCTATAACAGTGACTGCACCCGTCCCCATTATCCTAGGACGTCTTTTTTTATTTGTTTTTCTATACGAATTTATTTTATATTTTTATTTTTAAATTTTAAACCTGATTTATTAATCATACTTCACATTAATTTATTTTATCTTTTTTCTAATACGTTAATTAATAACTTTTTATATAATAACAATAAATGAATGTCATTATAATTGAACGATTAGTACATAGCAAATTTATTATGTTGATATTGAATAAACTCAAATTAAAAAAGAAGGACATATATACTTCGCACGATAGGTGGGTCACTGTTATAGGTGAGAAATTGGGAAGGTAGAGAGGAATTTAATGTATATCTGTACGTAATGATTAATCGTTGCAAACGAAAAGCGATTCTGAGCAAAGTTCATTTATACAAGATTTGAAAGGCCGTAATACTTGCAATTGTCTTCAATATTTTGATCCTAATACCACTATGAAAAAAGATGAATGCATTACACTCCATTTTTTTTTTAACTACAAAGTGCAACTATTAATGAACCTCCTATTAAATTTCAAGCATTCATGTTTGGTCTAACAATTCATCAACAATCATCCACAGTGTACCTACCAAATAAAAATTAAGTAAAAAACTCGTAATATTAAAATGTCTCAAAAATGGTTAAAATGTTTTGAAAAATTTACCATGCCTATAAATGAAAAATTAAATTTTTAGTCCAAATTTCAAGTTTCTACGAATATTTTTAACTGAATCACAAAAAAAAAAACAAAATTTAAAATAATACATTCAATATTGTAAATTTTCCCGTTTTCCTACGTTTTTCCCCGATTTTTCCAAATTATTACGAAAACTGCTTGGAAAATAAAAATACGACCCTCTTGGAGTACTGCCCAGATAAGATTCCCTTTCAGAAAAAATACTACAATTGATATTTCTAAGCAAAATATCTGGTAGAAAAGTTGTTTACAGATTGACAAAAACAAATAAATATCATTGTAAAACCAATACATATTACTCGTTTCGCTCAGAATCTGAAAAAAATGATTTCCTTATACCTTAACCTCGTGGCCACTGTTGTAGACGGATAGTTGGTAAGATATAGGATATAAGGTAGTTTATATAGTTTTTATTCTGGACTTGAAAGGAACGATAAATTATTGTAATCAAACAACGATTCTGAACGGAGCTTTGTAAACTGATAAGGTTATACATGTTGTGTTGGAGAAGTATTGAAAATTTCGAAATTTTTTTTAAATAAAGTACTATTAATCAAAAAATCGACATAATGACATGAAAACAATTTAAAGCAAGCATGTATGTATATTTTATGTATGATATGAAAAAATTTAGAAAACGAACCGAAAAAGTGCTTTTCGAAAAATTAAACACGTCTTAGTGATATGAATAATTTCAACACTCAGAATCCAAAAATTTTAAATTTTTTAATAGTTACTGATAAAATATTTAAATATTAAAATACTTGTTATAAAACTGGTACTGACAAGTAGGACCGAATCGATAATCATTAAACGTTATTAAGGTTATACATAATAACTTACAGTTAAACAATGCTTCTTAAATGCATCATCTATATCTTGATCCATGTACAAATTTAAATAGCGCATCATTACTTTAGGGTTTTTTTCATAATAATAACAATATATCAATATTTGAGATAGTATTAAAAGCCTCCTTAGAGGATGTTGAAAAACTTTATAAATCATAATTAATATTCCAATAAGAGGATATTTATTTACAGGTTCCAATAAACACTCGACTCTTACTAATTGCAATGCACTACTAAAATGACCAGAAGCCATTCCACGAGAAAAATATATTTTTGCTTTTTCATAATCCTAAATTCATAAAAAAAAAAAAATGCATCAAAAATATTCATAATGTGATAGAGATGTTCGACATACTATTATTATTATAATATGATAAATTGGTAGGTACTTAACCATCATACCTTTTTGTATTTTAAATAATACTTTCCTAAAATAGGATACACTTGATTATATTCTTTCCCGGTTAATTTCTCAATTAATGTATCTACCACTATTTTAGACTGAAATTGTTTTGGATAATCGATGTATGTCTTCAAGCATAAACATAATTGTCTTATATCATCTTTCGCCACTTCAATTGCTTTTCTATAAAATTTATAAATATTGAATATTGGGGTCTAGGACATTTCGCCACGGCCGTTTCGTCGTAAAACCATTTCGTCACCAGTCATTTAATAGTAATTTTGAACGTAAGAAGAGTTAACGGGGTGAGAGGGTCAAAAATATTTGTCAAAATTTAATGCCAAATAGCGATTTCCAATAGACCAGAAGTAAGTACTCAAAATTTCAAGAGAACTTATTTTTAGATAAAACGAATATAAATGGTAACGAATAACACTGATCCCTGGGGTAATCCATTATTCACTGAGCTCCACCTACTTTTTTTACCGTCTACGAACACTTAAACCTACGGTTAACTAGCGTGTTGTTTAACAGTTCAACCATTTCCTTGCAAGGAATTACATTTATAAACTTTTGTATGTACTTTAAGTCAAGTTGTCTGCGATACAACTGTCTTGTGTTTCTTCGTATTCTTCAAATAGTTTCTTATATGCCATACCCACCCCGGAATGTACGTTTTCTGTAGCCTCTTGGTATATGCTTTGCTGTTATCTTCTTTAATCGATCATAATTTCAGGCAATTGGTGATATCCATTTGACTATCCTATTCAATTCGTTGGCATATTTGTCCCACTTCTCTAATTTAAAATGCCATCGTGGTTTAGGTATAGATCTAGCTACTGTAATCTGGAGACCACAGGCAATTAATACAGGTCTATACTGCCTGTGTGGGAAAATTCCCAGTACCGTTCTAGTCGCGGTTATGCTGTTGTTCATCGATTACCTTGTTAGGTTACAAAGGTTCGATGTATATTTTGCATCTCGCTGAGTGAAATTTCCCTTTATCTTTAGCGTTATGTTTGAGTTCCGTATTATTTAGAATAATCAATTCCATAATTATATCTCCATTACTGTTGTTTTGGTTATATCGCCATATGCAATACTATCTCAGGTAAATCGCAGGGTAAAAAATATGAATTTTGCAAGGAAAATCGTTTTCAATGGTTATTATTGTATAGTGTACTAGTCAAAATATCTAATGCGGTATCTAGGACAATTTTTTCTATTGAAAAAAAATATACTTTTGGGACACGGATTTGACTTAGGACACCTCTGGATAGATAACAGGTACTAACTAGACTACGACAACCAATGTATGGTAAATGCGATATTGAGTAATATCATAACACATGTATACTGATTTCAAAGTGTTATAACTCAAAAACTAAATTCGACCGCCCAATTTATATTGCACCATCATTCTCAACAACTATATTTATTTGTAAAAAAATTTTGACTCCCCTTCCCGTTAACCCTTCCTACGTTTAAAACTACTGTTAAATGATTAGCGAAAAAATGTCCGGGTCTGTAAATATCAATCTAAATCAAAGATTAACATAGATACCACTTACCTATCATAATTTTTAGAATAGGCAATTATGATTATTACCTTAGCTTGTTTTTTTTTTTGTTCTTAATAGTATTAATGAGTGGTCGAGAACTTAATACTAAAATTAAATTAATTTTTCATAGTTATGTATAATTTAGTTAAATTATGGTAATCAAATTTGTAGTTTATTTGTAGTATTTTTTCTATTGGGACGTAATTTAACTGTCTAATACTTAGGTTAACTCGTATTATACTTACACGATAAGATTCGATGAAATTGTATTGTATATTTTATATTCCTCTTGGTTGTTATTTGTTGAATGAATAAACGCTATTTCCATATAAACTTTAGAAGCTTGGACCAAAACCCAAGGTTTGGATTGTGCTAAACTTAACATTCCTGCTGCCTCAATTTCATCTTCTCCTGGCATTTGAGTTTTATTATAACAACGCCTAAGTCTACCTTTGGCTTTTAACCAAACGATTATCCATTCAGTTTCGGTAGATTGATGGTGGCGAGATTGATCAGCAAATTTTAAAGCGATATTGTTTCCCTTCGGCGCATACATCATAAATATTCTAGCTTTAATTGCATAAATTGCAGCTTTTTCGACTTGATTTAAACTGTTTACCGATTTTATGTCCATCGTCATCTAATAATATCATTAACAACAAAATATCGATTAATATACTCGTATAGTGTAGTTGTAGTACTTACCTACAATTTATTTTAATTTATTTACAACTTTATCGCTATGGTCAATCTTATAAAATGTAATGCTCTAAATATTAATTCTAATACGTATGATACAATTTGATACACTTATTACCTACAATTTTTATGTAGGCCAAAGGCGAATATATACATTTGTCTCTTCTCTCGACTTCTCCAAGCGTCCTCTTACCACGTATTCATTCACGTTTTTTGAACCCGCAATTAAATTCTAACCTAACCTGTGTTACATTTTAATCTTACTTGTTCATAATCACGATCCAATGTTAAAGCAATGTAAGCACAAGTAGCACGAGATATGTGGTGGCAAGCGTAAATATACGGTTTCTCTGGCTGGTCAAATGTACACGTTTCTAGAGATTTGATAACGCTTTGGATTTCCAATAACGATTCTTCGTAGTTATCACTCATATAAAGTTCATAAGTTATAACCAAGTGATAAAAAAATCTAAAATATAAAACACTTTTTAATTATATAGTACAAGTTTTCTCAACCTGGGGGTTGCCAAATAATTATTTATGGTCGCCAAAAATATAAAATAATTAGTCGCCGTTTATAAAATATATATTTTAACCACCTAAATTTTAGGATGTCACGGCAGTAAAAATAGTTAAAACACTTATCTGACCTACCTCAGTAAATTAAACGTCTACGTTAATTAGCAATAATGTAATAAATAATAATAGATTATTCAATAGTATACAATATTTTTATCTTCGGGTATGGGATATTGTTTATTGGACTTTATTGTTTAATGTGCCACAACCAAAATGCATAGACACCTGGAGCCGTAAGACTGTTGGTCGTTGGGCCACACAACGGTGAGTTTAAAATCTGAAGTAATTATGATGATTTATAACAATGAGGAATCGAAATTTTCACCCGCTCTTCAAAATATAAAGCTCGTTAAAAAGTAACGTTACAGCTACAACAATTTTATTAATACACACAGGAATTGAGTTCTTTTATATTTATATAATATAGAATTTTAATGCAGAAAATAAGACATTTAGTTAAATATACTATTATAATACATGTTATCAATTCATAATACAAAGTCTAACCTCCAGTTTTTCACAACAGAGAATCTTTCAATAATATCTCACTATTATTGACACCGCCGCCGAAACTCCGTGACAAGCAGCTGGCTGTACAGTCATAGATTTGTGATACAAAAACAATATATTTTTAGACTAAAATACTAAAAAAAACAATATTTATTATGGAATCGTATTATTATCGTAGTAAATTGCACGTAATCAGGCTATCACTATCGGTATTCTTATTTGTTTGAAAAAACAACATTCGTAGAGAGTTTCGACAAAAACGCACAAGCTGATTGTAGTTCAAATTCCATATTTACATTTAAACGTTTATTTATTTTAAAATTGGTGGGTAATAAAACTGAAAATGAAAAGTACAATTGTGTACTTAATCACAGGAAAAAAAGTCAAATATTCATGTAGACACCAAACACGTGAGTAAAAAAGTCAATAATAATTGATCTATTATAAAATAGTAATTATCTCGTTATTAAAATGCGTTTGTTAATTATTGTTTTATTGATTTTTGAACAATAAATTATGTACCGGTAGAAAAATTACCTGACCGAAAATCAGTGGTAAGTTGTCCTCAACCATAACTAATAAGAACTAAGATTAATTAAATTATTTTAGTCTAATGAAATTTGGAGGGAAGACAGTTAGGCAGCATATTAGTGAAGGCCTAGAGCAGCACTTGTGCTGAATCATGCCCTACAGTCTACGACTTACATTAATTTTACATATAGATTATTGATAGTTTAAATGTTTTGTCTTTAGTGTGTAATGTGTATATGTTTTAATTTTTCTTAGATAGAAAATGCTCCTGATCACAATATTAATAGGTACTATTGATGAAAATATTCAAAATGATTCTGAGATTTATGTCAATGGTGTTTCATTATTTACTAAAACGTCTACAAAAAAAATCAAACATTAACAGAAGAGGAAAAAATAATGATGAAATTGAAGACCTATATCTAACTATCTATAATAATATAAGTAATGATATTATATTTTCTAAAAGTGCTGTAGCTAACAAGAAGATGCTCCCCCCTCTCACCCACAAAAACTACTTTCTGGCTACGGAATTGCCGTATGTTTTATATTGTGTTTTGCAATCAGAACATAAGAGTTATGTGTATTATTATTATACTATTTAGTATTTACATTTAACATGAAATAATTTATATTTCCAAACTTCTTGCTTTTTGATAGGTTTTAAAACACATTAATTGGGTCCCACCTAACAATTTTACTTTTCTAGTAATAGAAAATAAAAATACCAGTCATCATTGTTGAATTTATTTCCATGGTTGGAATATTCAAAATTTAAACAAGATGGTTCAGCTGCTAGTTGATGTTTATTCTCCCATTATTAATAAACACAACGTTTTGGCTGAACTCAATATGTGGAAACTCAAATTACCCGCAAGCTGTCAAAATATAATTAAAAATGGCTTAGAAGCCTTATAACACTGTAGTAAATATATTTATCCAAACATCTATTTTTTGTTTAAAATATCAGTTACCTTGCCTGTTTCTATAGCGACACCTGAACCGAGCTATTCGAAAAATGTTAGTGTTGTAAAAATACTAAAAACAAATAACAATGCACACATATAATTATACGGCCCACGGGGTGGAGGGTGAATGCTAAAACATTTTTTTTTTTTCGAGATTTTCGAAATTCTGATAGCTTTAGAGTGTCTACGCCATATTTTTTTTTATTTTTGACGATACTCATATATGCACATAAATAAATATTTTTAACTTATAAACCTCCAAATTTCAATTCAATATTATTTACCTGTTTAAATTGAACACACCATCGTCATTGTCTATTGTCGATTCGCATCTTTCTCGGATCCTAACGATAAAGTTCGATATTAGATTTTTGTTTTTACTTTTTTCGGTGAGTATTTCGATGTCCCACGAAAAAACGGTTTCATATTCGTTTTTCATTTTGTACAACTTTGTGCGCAATTCGGCATCAAATCCGTGATTTTCCAAACAGATATTTTCCATAACGGATAATGTTCCCATTTCATTGGACAAATCATCATGTTTCTCTCCCATTATTCAATAAACTGTACTTCCGTACAGGTACCTAACATCATAAATCATAATTTATCAATAATTACAGGTCAGTTACATTCATGAGTGTACGCTCGGGAAGGGCTGACTGGGCTTTAGCCCTATCTGAGCCTTTTTTTTTTTTTACGTGGGTGGATACCTACTTGATACTTTATGAAGTTATGACTAAAAGTAGGTATAGCCCTTTTAGTTTTTAAACGTTTGTGTTTACCCAAGAGACTATATAGAAATCAGAAGGTAATAAGTCGTTATAGCCGTAGAAAATTGATAGCAAAATAAATCAAAAACAATAGATATTTACATATGTTGGCGGTTGTCCATCGAGATGTGATAAGTACTCGTGGATATTAAACACGTTTAATATCTATGATCAAAATAAATATTATGTTTTGTCTTTATGTGTATTTATACCAGTTACCACTGAAAGTAGTTGCGTTAGCAATGCTATACTTGAAAAAAATTGCTAAACAGATAAATGTAAAACTTTTAACGCTAAAATCTAAAACAAGATGGGCTTACCGATCCGAAACTATATCCGCTATTAAATCTAATTATTCAGCTTTGGTTATGGCGCTTCAAGAAATTTGTGATTCAACCAGACTCTCGGATTTAAGCGCTAAAGCTCGTGGATTAATTTTTCAAATACAATCTTTTAATTTTATATTCGTCCTGAACATGCTGGAACATTTTTTTTTTCAGTTCTATTGAGTCAATACAAATTTACAAAGGGAACAATAATTAGTTTAACAATTAGTCAATATCGGTCTGATGATGAAGAATATGAAAAAATATACAAAAATTATATAAAAATGTGTGATGAAAATAATATTGACATTCCTAATGTAAAAAAAACGAAAAATATCAAAAAAGATTGACGACAACCACGATCATCAATAATTTGAGAAAACTAAAAAAGATGAAATGAAACATTCTTGCTTTTATTTCGCACTTGATCAAATTATATCTGGATTAAATGTTCGATTTAGGCTCGGTCTTAAAATTCCATGTTTTATCCGAAGAATAGATGTCCCGGGTATAAAAGTTATACTATAAGTTATCTAGAGTAAAGAATATTTTGGTTTTATAATGTAATAAACTCTCTAGATAACAATTCTCTGAATAGCGCTGTGGTATGAATTGTATGTGTGAAATAATGAATAATGATTGTTTACATTTTTCAGTCCCCAACAAAAGGTTCACTTCGAAGTTTGTAGTGAAAATGTCTATAATTGTTTTATTGTGTGACCGTGACAGGAAGGAGTAGGATGGTCAGATTGAATTTAGCCATATCTGACTCAGAAGTCTGCGCACGCCTATAGTTACATTACTAATAATTAGAATCAAAAACCAGCTGAAAGTTTTCGAAATCTTTGTATAGAACGCATATTAGAATATTGAATATTATTTACTTACCTAAATACTTATTATTATTACCGACTGGAAACGCATGTCAGTGTAAATCAAACAACCGAAAATTTTTTATTAAAAAACGGAAATTCACATAAAAAAAAAAAAAAAAAAAAAAACCGAAAAATTGAAATCACATCGATTCTCCGCGTTCGTACGCTTCTAATTTATAATGCGACCAATGCGGTTTATCGTTTACTAATGTGTTAATGTTTTGATAAACCAACAAAAACCACAACACTTTTATCTATAGGTACCTCTACCAATTACTTGTGACATCGGAATTGAAAACTGTTTATACTCACGAAAATAGAAGGCTTATCAGGCTTCAAACGTTTTACGTGTATCTAAATATTCTTCTGACTCATATTACATCAAGTGTCCTAGTCGACTGTGTACAAATATTAAATTTGTACATCGCAACGCCCATCACGTCTCGACCGTCTCGTACACGGTTGCCTAATACATTCGTCACAAACAATTCGTCAAGTGTCCTCTCCATATTTGTATTTTTAACGTCGTGCCTACCTATAATACGCCTATGTATATTCGTAAACCGCAAAGTATATTTACAACACAGCCGGTAGGTGTTCCAACAATAAAATAATGTAGTAATATGTACAAAGGGTAATATAGGTACCTATATATTATAATCTCGAAAAAACAAACGATTGCGCAATGTCAAATATAATAAAATTATCACGGGATTATAACGAAATACGTACAAATTATTAATATTATCATCACCATAAAGATAAGACGAAATGGTACTTGTGGACAAATCTATGTGTAATGTATAGTATGTTATACTATATAAATTACCTATATGTTTTGAACTTTGAGCGGACCGAGGAACGTATTGGTTTTACAAACACGTTTTCCCCTAGTAAGTTTCCTCCGATGTATAAGTGTAGCATCTTTTCTGAAAGCTCAAGTTGTCGAGATGGTACTTTAAAGAGGTCATTTTTTGTTTTTGATTTTCGACGCCATTTTTTAAATAAAAGCACTTAAGTGGGAAATAACGTGGAAAAACGTACAATTTCACGGTTTCATTGTTTTATAAAAACACGGGCGTTTTCTACCAGAAAAAATAATTTAATCGATAACCACAAGACACCTTTTATGTTGCCTTTTTGATTTGCTTTCTAACGGTATCATGACTTCCCAACTTCTCACCTATAACAGTGGCCGCTCCCTTCCCCAATATCAGCTATTGTCTTTTTTCTTCTGTGAATAACTTTTCTATCACAAATTTTACTCCAATTTTCAATTGTAACAGTTTTCCTGAAAGGAATTCTGACTGGTGTGGTACTTTAGAAAATTAATTTTTTAATTTTTCCAAGAGTTTTCATAATAAACGGGATAAACTGGGCAAATTAACGAAATTTTCAAATCGTAAATACCTATTACGGCCTTTAAAAAAATGTATAACCGAACTGCACTCAGAATCGTTTACATAATCAACAATGATAAATCTTTGTGTACAGTTAAACATTAAGTTCCCCTTCTACCTTCCTAATTTTTCACTTAGAACAGTGGCCCACCCATCGTGTGAAGTATGTCCGTTTGATTTTTAATAACAGAAACGAAACTAAAGTTTTCGTATTTCAATGTTTATGTTTTGTTTGATTTTAAAATGCACGTTGGTCGCGATATAATATTTACTATAAGTACCTATATATATATATACGTGCAAAATATTGTTACGTGCCCTACGGACACAGCCTTTGGACGGGAAGACGGCCAAGTGTTTTGAGTCTATGCAAACAGTTATCATTATTATGTTGCGAAAAATTGATTAACAATTGATGCGGTAGTGCCGTTGCGACACCAGACCCGGGGGTCGAGATTTCGAAGGTATCGATTATCAGACACACTAGTACGCTTTAGAAATGACTGAACGGGTCGGCGTCGAGGTGACGGCGCTCATACGTCTCGTGCGTCGCGGCAGTGGTGTAGGTACACCGTCCGTTGTCCTGGGCCGAATGAATTTCCTACGCGGTTCTCCCGGTCGTCTCATATATTACGACTGGTCGCCTTGGTCGGGGCCCAGGCGGACGCCGCCGCGCCGTCGTACCCTGGTGGCACGTTGTCCGCACCCGGACGCGTTTTCCATTCAGCCTATCGGCACGCGTCGTCCTTTGTTGCGCGAGAACGTCGTAGGTTTGCCGCGCCCGTATTAATGGCGCTCGCGTGCGTACACTTGATGCGACGGCCGATTTCACGCTTAGTCGGGCATAGAAATTTATACTGGTGCGTATAAAGGGCAGAGTCCGTAGTAATATACGAGGGCTAATCAAAAAGTATCAAGACTGGTAGTATCATTCGGAAAAGGATCATCGAAGAGCAGTAGGATTGGTATCACTTGATTCTATGACTTTTTCTGAGTACATTTGTTTTTATTGCTTCTCTATAAAATTATTCGGTTTGATTTCACTGATATTTTTGTAAAATATATTCTCCGAGTTTGGCGATTTTGGGTCGAAAATTTGTCTGCATTTTTTTCCAGTTTCAGAGGGATGCAACATTTCATGGTTTTTACCATTAAATGTCAATTGAAAAACTGAAAATGTGCCCTCGAGTGGCAGCGAGTTTCGCTTCGTTTGGATTCATTACGAAATCGCCAAACGTGAAAAACAAATTTTAGAAAAATATCGTCAAATCAAAACGAAGAAGTTTATAGAGATTTCATACGAATAGATGTGCTCAGTATAAGTCATAGAAGCTAGGTTTACAAATCGTTTTGCTCTTCAACGCTCGGTTTCCGAGCAATATTATCAGTCTCGATACTTTTTGATTAGCCCTCGTATACATCCAAAAACAATGGTCCCTCACAGTCTCACCGTGAATTGTTCGGGGGTGTTGGCACCCTCAAACTTTGTATGTAGTGTAAACACCAAACAGTGATGGTGAACACTTAATTTGTTTCATTTTTATTATAGTTATTACTTATCGATAATACAATTAAAATAATTTTCATAATTATTAAATTTTTGTATCTACGTCACTCCTTCGTACGAAAATAGTAATAACAATGTATACCTTATATTGTACAAAATGTGGGTAGGTATATCGTATATAATCTTTCAACAATATACATACATATATATATATATATATATATAACTGGATCGCTTCCCATGCCCATAATTATTTAAGGAGTACACAATACAAAAAAAAAAAAAATTTTCTTCAAATTATTATTTAAATGTAAAATTCGGAATCCAATGTAAAAAAAAAAAAAATTTAAGCATACATTAGTATATTTAGAATAACAGAGTGATGTCATCGGGCCGCCGGGTTTTTCACAATTGCCTATCTTAAACGTGTAAAATCGTATATTTATGTTACGTCTCGTAGTTCCTCTTATCTTCCAATTCAAGCAATGCTTATAATGAATCACTTGTTGAATTTCAAATATTTCTTCTTCTCCTTCGCCTTCATCTCAACTATTTGGGGTTGGCCACCCTCGTTTTAAATCTCAATCACATCCAACCCTGCATTCACCCTTCTGCGTTTATTATCATTACAATGCTTACTGCTTTAAATTCCTTTTCCCGTGACATGCACAAACCATCTCAAATTATTTTATTTTCTCTAATTTTGTCTACTATCAAAGCCAAGCCTAAGTTACCTTTTACTGTCCCATCCCTTATCCTATCTTAATTCGTCACTCCATCTGAGCATTCTCATATCTGCCACATACATTCTCTGTTCTATTTTTCTATACACTACCAACCAAAAATTCCGAAACATACGTCATCATGGCCGGTCACCCCAAGTTCGATTGTACAACTTAAATTTAAGAACTTACTAACATTTCTATCTGGCCAAAGCAACAATTGTGTTCATACATAACGATAAAATCAAATAAAATACAAATCTCGAAAATTAATAGTAAATATCTATATATAGCTAACATATAACTCAAAAATCACATGTTTTGATAATTATACAAGTATACTATGTCTATAAAAATGGCCAGTAGATATAAATATTCTGTGAACATTTCAGGTCTCTTGCCGAATTATAACAAAAAAACAAAATCGCAAACAATAAAACCATTAATGCCGTAAACTTTCTCATTTCAACTACCTTTTTTCCAATTATTAAGAATAGGTACTATAAGAAAAATCAACAAACAAAAAAAAGGACAAACAAAAAATACTAGGGTCAGATGTTCCACTGTTGTAGGTAGAAAGTTGATAAGGAATGATACATAGTTATTTAATTTATATCTGTAAACAATAATCAACCATTGCTAACAAGAAATGATTCTCAACAAATTTCAGTCAGGTATACATGATTTGAAAGTTATACCTACATATTTTTTTTTATAATTTCTATAGACCTTGTTCAATAAATGTTCATAAGATGTAAAGAAAAATCTATGCATCTAAAACTCATTACAAACAAAATGGCATAAAAACCTTCCACCAAACAGAGAACTAGTTAGTTATCCTTCAATGTCCAGCCTTTAATAGACTCCTTATGTAAAACATGGGTCCACCTCGATCACAAGGACAATGCAATCAACTCTTAAAATAGAAGCAAATTGAAACAAATGGAAACTGTGACAGCGAGAAATTGTATTTAACAGAAAATATTATAAAAGACTACTCAACTCGATGATATCTAGGTGTGATAGATGACTTCTTCAGTCATAAACTTGGCTATTTAAAGAATAAATAAACTAGATGACAAAATTATAAATCAAAAGTTTAAATAGCGTTATCTGACATAATACATAATAACAGTATATTTGTTTATTTTAGTATTTCTAAATTAAACTAAATTGTACTAATTATTATTTTAATTCAAATAGTTGGGATGAGGACGGCAAAGAAAAAGTTGTTAACCATAAATACAATATTTATAGCCAAATCTTATATGTTATACAAAATAAATATATAATACTTAGTTACTAATTTGATATAATATAATATTTTGTTTTATATAAAAATGGACGGATTATTTAACAATTTATTTTTAAAAATCGACTTAAAAACCTGATTTTAAAAATAAATTTTATAAAAAATAATCATAGAAAAATATATTCTTAGTTAGTAATCTAAATGTGCGAATAAGTACTTACAATTACACAAAAATATAATAATATAATAATTTGTATGGTCTTACATATAGTCAGTAAAACTTAAAATAAAAAAAATAAAAATAAATGGACGGATATTTTCATAATTATCAAAATGTGTATGGTTCTACATTTAATGCCATTATTGCGTGTATATATTTATATACATTAATGTGATTTAATTAATATTTTTAAATAATTTAAAAAAAAAAAATTGTGGTTAAATGTTAATATATATATATATATATATATGAATTAATTGAAACCAATATTGTATTTGTTGCTCAAAATATTTAAATAAAAGAACTGATAAATATTTTTATAAGGAACTATTGAATTAAATGACATATAAAAAATAAAAATATAAAAAGGCATTTTTAACTGAAATGCACCATAAAAAACAGGTGTGGAAAAAACAGTAATGGAAATTAAAAACAATATCGTATTAACTGAAAACATAATATTATCAGTCTAATGTATGTTTACACCGCAACTTCATCAATAATAAATTGTATAAATTTAACTAGAAAGCCTATGTACTAAATAGATTCTCTATCTAAAATAAATAGTTTGAAATTTAAAACTCTCTAAGGCAACATTTGTATATTTCAAAATGGTTTGAAATTGTTTTTCAAAATGGAATCATTTTGAGTATAAAACATTTAAGCTGCTTCATAGAAAAGTAATAATTATGTGGGTAACAAATAATATATATTTATAGAAAACGAGATTCTGTTACTTAAAATGTTAATATTATATGATGAGCAATTGAAAAATTAATGTTTCTTTTCCTTTCTTTACAGATCTGTTAATATTGGTAATAATATGTCAAGTGTCATAAATGTCATGTGTTATAAAAAAAGTTTAGATTTTTTTTTTCAATCTATCCAGTCATATTTTTATAATATTTGTTTGATATTATATTCTTATAATATTGATTTATGCTTTAGTAAATAAGTAAGTAAGTAAGTATATCAAAATTATTTGTATTTGTTTTAGAAATTATTATTTACCTAAGTATGGTAATAAGGTATTTCTAAAAGCAGTTAAAGTTATCCTCTCCAATCTAATATTTAAATTCTTCAAACATTTTAATATAATTTGTAATTTATAATTCATATTTTATATTTAATTAAATTATTTATCTTTAAAACATGACATTTATGAGAAATAACTTTTAATTACTTGACCTAGATTCATTACTACTATTAATTATTGAACACTATAAACTAAAACCACATGTGAAAGCAAAGTAAAGATGATACCATGGTCATAATACTAATCGGTAACAATGCAGTGCCAGCTGCTTGGCAGTCAACAAGACGACGGGCGCGCATAAAATTTGATCCGAGCCAATTGGAGTAATATCTTAATGAACTATCGATGGGCACAAGCTGTTGGGTAGCATCCTGGAAAATCAGATCACTGTACGGTTCTGGTGATGTAAACATACTGAAACTAAAAATTAAAAAAATACATTACGTTTTAAACAAATAAAACTGAAAATTATGAGTGACTTACGTAAACTCGTCAATAGTTTTCCTGCCGTATAACTGTTGGGCAGCCATAAATAAATTGGTAAATGCCATCACTTCGGTCTCATTATATACGTCACCTCCTCGAGTTATTACAGCGTTCGCCTTAACCTTACCCAAACTACATTTCTTATAATCAGCAATTGACGATCTAGTACCTATATAAAGATAAAGTTATTTTTAACAACATGATGGCAATCTGTGATTAATAATAACATTAAATACAATTTTCTTTATTAACTATAAAAAGACAATGTATACAATTTCTACTAGTTAGGTTCTTTTGTAAAATTATGAATATAAAAACTTACCATCTGGACACAAAAGTTCAAAGTCATAACTTAATGTATTCCTTGCCCACCACTGTTTACGTTTGCCATCAGCATTTTCATACACTGTAGTATGTTTCACAAAAGCTACATTTCCACCTCCTTCAACCAAACATCTCAGGGCACCTGTAAATCAATGCATATAATTGATATAAATTGAATGGTTTAGTTGTAATGTAATACAGTGGATTTCGCTCAATGTGGTAACCGATTAATGCCTCCTAATATGGACATAATGATTTAGTCCTGATTCTAATATATAACGGTACTTATTTCAGTTAAAATAGGCAATCACTTAATGTGGGCAAATATAACTGGCCCCAACGTTACCCACATTAAGCAGAATCTACTATATGTTATTTATAAATCCTTGATCTAATATATATTTAACTATATACCCGTGTAGCCATAAAAGTCTTCAGTAGCATCTCGTTTACAGTAACGGTAACTGGAACCTCTACATAGATGACAGAGGTTATCATAAGGTAAACCATTATTGTATTCATTACTCAAAGCACCAGGCACACACGATTTGCTGAAGTACTCTGAAGCAGCATGTAATGAATCACATCCATAACTTCGTATCCAACCATTACTCAACAAAAATGCCATTGGTATTATCCATCCACCACCGGAATAAACACCCGGATGACAAGTCATTTTTCCTACAATTTGTTAATTGTACAATATCTTAAGTTTTTTAAAATTAATTAGACCACAAACCTTTTAAATAGGTTAATTCGGTATCAGGATCCTCCTCTTTAGCAACTGCCACAATATAATATTCTGGTTCTGGCAGATCATACATTTCAGTGATAAATGGTACTTGGTTATAGACCAATCCAGCTGTATAAATATCACCAGCATCCATTACTGCCACATCCGCATTTCTAGTAAATAAATATTAATGTAATACAATTATTAACCTTAAGAAGATGTGATACTTGCATGTGCTACTTTCATATACAAACTCACAGTATAGCATATTTCCTTTTAACAGAGATAAACCTGTGCACTGAGTTTTAATATTAGAGTGAATTGACCTATTATCACTTAAAGGTGTGAACATTTTCCATTTTGTAAGTTAGTTTTTTAATAATTTAATTTTTAACTGAAATATTATCATTTTTAAAATATAAATATGTAAAATTTACTATTAAATCTCACTTAAAAATTAAAATATCGAGAAAAAATTAACCTAAATACATAAATAATATTCTTATCATTAAGTTTAATAAAATTTCAATTCACTTTAATAAGTGCAAAATTGTTTTTATTGATGATGGAGACGACATATTATAAGGGTATAGAGTCCTCTTTACAATAAAATATTAATTTTAACTTAACATACCCATTTTGGATGGCTTGCATACAATTCACTTGACTGTAACCACGATAACATTGTAATTCTGGTGTCAAGAGTTGAACTTTTAATGCCATCTATTTTAATCAATAATTTTAATAACAGTATATTACAAAAATAAATAAACATGTAAAATTGTAAATAAATTTACCTTCATTTTAATACATTTCTCCAGTTCAGGTTCAGAAGTTACACATAGTATCATTCGAGTAGCAGGACAGTACCGAACACCAAGTATAATATCCATAGAATCACCTAAATATCTCGAATATGTTTGTTGGGATTCTTCTAGGGGCCGTACATCTCTAGTTGAATCCTATACAAAAAAAAATATAAATATACATTTATTTTATTACTATACACAAGTATTATTTAGTATCACTTAGTTTAATAAAGTACACTATGATTTTAAATGTTTTTAAATTTATTAATCCTATATTAGATACACAATTAAAATTTTTCACTTAGTCTATTTTAAAATAGGATTACTCTTATGCAACCTACACTAAAATAAGCTCTATCACCACTCGTTCAGATTTATATGAAACTTATATAAAAAAAAAATTATTCATAGTATAAATAATAAATATATTATTCTAACCGAAAATCTGTAAACTAATACATTAATAATTAACAAATATGTAAATATGTATAAGTGATTGTAATAATATTAATAAACACTGACTATTTCCACTTTTAATTATTTGGTTATGAATTTAGTAATGGTTTACATTTGTGTCACAACTATGCACCTGACCACATAGCATCAGTATCAAACACATAGGGTTAAATCATTTTTTATTTATTCTACAGTAATTTATCATTTTAAAATTTAAGAAACTGTTCTATGTTCAATGAGTATAAATCAAAATGTTGAGAAAATTATTCCACAAGTTTTGGTGTATACAATTTGTTCAATGCAACAGGTCTATTAAAACATTTAAAAAAGTATTGGATTAGAAAATTTGTATTATTTTACCTGTAACAATAGATTGAGGCGATCACCGTAAGCTGTAGAATCAAACAAATAAAATGATAAATTATTGTTGATTGGAGGTCTTTGCCAATCATCAGAAGTAATTGATGCAAATGACTTAGATGATTTTGGTTTTCCATATAATTCAATTATTTTCTTGTAAACAAAATAAAAATTGTGTTAGACATTGAGTAAATAGAAAATAATAATTTGAATTTTACCTGTAACCATTTTTGATAAGACATGCGATCTGCAGAAGTTTTAGCAGATGTCGTTACAATAGCATCAGTGGGAGCTGTTCCCCAATTGCACCTATTAAATTCACTAATCGGACGTCTAGAACCATCTACACACAAGAGCTCTAAATCATCTTCTTTTGTTCGTGCTAAAAAGACAATTGATATATTAAGTAATACAAAATATTAAATACATATATATGTGTACACAATGTATAAGCACATATCTTTTGGTAATGATCATGGACTCAGATTTAATGCATAATTATATACAGACTAAATAAGAGATATCTGATTTAAAACAAATTTGTTTTGTGATAATTGCATTTATCTTAGCATTAATCTTAGCATTTAATTCTGTACATTCATATCACGTTTCTATTCAATGAATACAAATTTTAATTTTAATTAAAAAGGTTATTTTTTTTTCAATTATTTCTGCTATTATCATTTCAAGATAAATATTTACATGAATACATGTATACAGTATAGTTGAATATGTTTACATTTTTAAGCACATATTTTAATATATTTAGTCCTAATGATGTTCAATAATTAAAAAAAAAAAATTAAACACTTAGTTATGAATATATATATAGCATATATTTACTTGGTGATGATTGATCATTGATGATTTCCAACATTGTAGTGTGTCTTAGAAATGCAATATCACCTTTTTCTATCAAACACTTAAATGCACCTTCATCACCAGCATACGGATCATTCCAAGTACATTTTTGACCAGAAACTTTGCTAGCACAGATAGTACATAAGCTATCAGAATTATCACCTGAGAAAAATAGCATTAATAACTCATTTATCAAACATATTGGTGAATTTATTTATATTGACATTAATCCATTTACTTATCAAAAAAATATTTATTACAAATAAATTATTTCGGGAAAATTACCCTGTTTTTATAAAATGTTTTTTTTTTTATTAGCTGAAACATTATAATAAAGAGTATCATCAATTGTAGATAATTTTATAAAAAACATATGACCTTCGATTTAATAACTCATATTTGCCTGATAATATGTATATTATGAAAATCAAACCCAATATGTTTAGTGAATATAAGAATTTAATTACCCATTGGATTATACTTGTCGAGTAGTGAATTTACAGCACAGCTGGGGCCAAAGAAATTTATAGTAGATTTTACATGATTATTGCAATCAATAATTTCCATGTAATTTTTTGAAATAAGCTGTAAATAAATCAAAATTATAAGAATAATTGAAATTATTTTAAATAAACAATTCATGTTTACTGTATTTATGGGTATATTCCATCCAGCTTGAGTACCAACTCCAGCGAAACAAGCTTTTTTACCCTTCAAATGTCTAAGATTATATACATCCTTTAAAGTATTTTTTTTTATTAATGCAACTGAATAATACTTAGTAGAGTCATCTGAAAAAAAAAATCATTTTAGTGCTATAAGAAATATTCTGATGAATGTATAATTACTTTCAAAAAGTTGTTGCATTAATGGTATTAAACTATTGTAACGGCCACCAACAAATACTTCTCCGGCATCCAAACTCAAAATGTCTGCTGAATTTATATCCAACAGCATCATACAATCGTCTTTATTGACTCCCTAAAAGTAAAACGTTTCGTTAAGTAAATAAATAATATGAAAATAATAAATTCAACCTATTTAGAATTCCAATTCATTTTTTTTATTTTTTTCATTTATGTGTACTTTTCGATTAGGTATAAAAGTTATTTTTATTTTAATGGATATTCTTTATATGATAAAATACCACGAGAATTTTGAATTTTTTAATTATTATTACTATTAGTATAATAACATTGGATGAATAAATCCAATTTAGATAGATTTATTGTCAGCGTGATATTATATTTGAAAAAGACACAGTAAATGTATTAAATAAAAATTGTTGTACACATATACCTACAACTAGTAAAATGTAAAATATATATATATATATAAAGAATGTAATTATAATAGCTTATGAAGGTTTCTAAAAAAAAACAAAACAAAAAATGAAGGCCTTGTTGAATATTATTATAGAAATTAAATAACAAACTACTACTTGGTGTAATTCATAATAAATTAGTTTGTCACTGAATTTAACAACAGTAAAAAAAAAAAAAAATGTTTAAATAATTTAGAAATTTTTGGTTCCCCATGTTTTAAACACAATAATCATGATATTAAAATAGATAATTAAGTGAATTTATTAGAAGAAAAAAAATATTTAAATATTATGTACTGTAGTCTGTAATGTAAAAATTACTTATAAAAATTATAATTACCTCCAAGAATACTTTTATGAATATAATTTCAATAAAAAAAAAACAGTTATGTATATACATATAAATAAATGAAATTGGTATAACAATTTTATTAAAATGCAATATTTTAATTTCAAAACAACAACAGTCTCTTTGTGAATATTTTTAAAATCTCTAAGTAATTTTTTAGACACGCCCGTAAAAAAAAAATATGTAACTTGACCATGCAAATTTTTTAATTTTTTTTTTTTATGAACATATATATATTGCCAAGTTAAAAATAATGAAGTCAGAATTGAGCACACTATATGTGTACGACTGACTTAGTTTCGAAGTTACAGTTCTGAAGTTCGAATATTATGTGTTTTATGTTAAATAACTTGATATTACCAAATATTTCAGTATGTTTATAATGGTCTAGTTGTGATACTTACCTATTGATAACTTGGAGATCCCAAATTCAAACTCGAATTCCGGTAATATATTTTTTTCAATATTTTAGATGTTTTGATTGGTACCCCATAAAATAATACAATTTTGAATGTCGAGTAAATTACAGGGAAAAAATAAATGCATTTTGCAAGGAAACCCATATTTAATAGTTATTATTTTGTAGGGCACAAATAAAACATATAAAACATTGCAAAAAATGCAGAAAAAATAATGTATGCTTGAGAATTTTGGACCTCTAGTATTATATCAAATACACATCACCAATAGACTATAATAAACAATAGGCGAAAGAAGCAATATTGGATTATTTAACATAAAAAAAAACTAAAAAATTTGCATTGGACTTATAACTAGGTGTGTAACAAAATTATAAATCTATGTATAATCAAGTTTAAAGATATTAGTTAACTAAAAAATGTATGTTGGTACCTGTTTACAAAAGAGTTCCATAAAATCCCTAGAGTCAAATTTATATTTGTCTCTATTGACGGCTGCTGATAAATTTAAACATTTCATTTGTTCTTCTACATTAAGCGTACACCAAGTGATACGATTGGATTTATCATTTTGTACATTTGATATGTATCCTATATGAAAATATTTTCAAATATTTCTATAAAATAATCATTATTATAATAGTATATAAGTACAAACCATTTACAAATATGATATTCAAGAGTACAAGACAAACGGTAAAAAATAAAACGAAACTGTTTGATGTCTCCATTATATTATACTTGGTGATTCAAACGTTGATTAAACACATAACATCTGAAAGGAAATGATATTGATTTTTAAATGAACACTACAATAAAAAAAAATTAAGAAAGTTCAAGTTTAAAATATTATATTTATATTAAGTTCATGTTCACTTATTAAATTTCTACCTTGTACATAGTACCTTTTTTTTGTAATAATAAACAAAATAACAAATAACAACATTAATAATGATAACTGTCGTTAGCCACAAGTGGGTGCTGCTTCTGCATTCTGAAACCCAGCCCTAAAATACTCGTTTTTCATGGACGATAAAGTTAAAACATTATTTATTTTTTTAATGAATGATAGCCATATATAATATATTGTGTTATCTATTATCAATAATGCGGTTATAGATTATATAGATAACAATTATTTTACCGAAATGTCCGACATTACACATAAACCTTAACATTAGACTTAAAGAAAATCACACCTTTATTATTGAATAGTTTGTAAGTATATTAATTTATTAAAAATATTAAACTAATTTATTTAACTTGTAATTTCTTATATTTCAGAATTATTTTGGAAATGTCATTTACAATGTTTGGAACGTACAATAAATTATTAAAAGGTAAATAACAATATAATAGTCTACTAGTCTAGTCCAACGTTTCCCAAACCGTGGTCCACGAGCGTATATTTAAAATACTATATAGTATATATAAAAACGAAAATACTAATGTATAAAAGTTTGAAGAGAATGGTGGTCTGTGATCACCACCCCCCTGGTTTATTATTTCTCAAGGGGTCTGACAGAAAAAAAGTTTGAGGAACGTTGGACTCTAGCCCATAAAAAGTATTGAAACCATTCTTTAAATTAAAGTTTCAAAATTTCAGTTATATAATAATAATATGTGTATAATTTATCTAGATAGTTTTTAAATTTCTATTTGTTCTTATTTTATTTAATCATATGCTTACCTAAATATAATAACTTGATGTGGTCTGGGACTCGTGATTAGTTAAGTTCAATTATTTTTTTCCAGCATATATTCTCAACATTTTTGTCTAAAAAGAACAAGATTCGTTTTAAAAATGACTACCAAATTCAGAGAGAGTTTCAAAATCGTTGACAAAGCTCTCTTACGATGGTTCCCAGGCCACATGGGGAAAGGTATGAAACAAATGCAACAAAAATTAAAATCCGTTGACTGTATCATTGAAGTGCATGATGCACGAATACCAATTTCTGGCCGCAACCCAGATTTTAAATACTCTATTTCTGGATTAAGACCACATATTCTAGTATTAAATAAAATGGATTTAGCTGATTTAAGTTATAAGCAAAGAATCGAAGATAAAATTAAAGTTAATCAGAATATATCAAACATAATTTATACTAATTGTAAAGATTCTCTGTGTCCAGGTGTAAAGCAAGTGATGCCGACTGCTTTAAATCTTATAAAAAACTCGAATAGGTTTAATCGATCAGAAAATTGTGATTATCGTATCATGGTAATAGGTGTACCTAATGTAGGAAAATCGTCTTTAATTAATGCTATTAGAAGTAATATTCTTGGGAGAAAAAAAGCAGCACCTGTTGGAGGAGTAGCAGGTATTACTAGAGCAGTACAACATCAAATTAAAATTAGCCACAATCCATTAGTTTATGTACTCGATACTCCTGGAGTATTGTCTCCAACAATTATAAATGTTGAAACGGGACTTAAACTTGCTGTATGTGCAACATTACAAGATCATCTTGTTGGTGAAGAAATAATTGCTGATTACTTGTTATATTGGTTTAATAAAAATAAAAATTTTGATTATGTAACATATTTGAATTGTGATGAACCTACAGATGATATACGGATAGCATTAGCAAAAGCTGCAATTTATCGTCAATCTAGTATCAAATATCGAGACTTAAGTGGATCGTATATTTATCGGCCAGATTTACAAGGGATGGCTAGAAATTTTTTGAACGCATATCGTACAGGTGTATTTGGAAAAACACTATTAGATAATGATTTATTGTAAAACATTTATAATAATAATAGTAATAAAATATTTTAAGTGAAATAAACCATTTTCAAATTAATTTTTGTTTTTTGTTACACTAATATGTTTTGTTTTTAAATATTAAGGTTTCCCATATTATAAATTAGAATGTACCCCTATTTTCCACCCACACTCCCACCCTTTTCCTTTCAAAATAAATAATTATATTATCAATTTAATATTTACCTGTCTTAAAAAGTAATTTTTTTTTTTGTCAATGTGACATGCATAAAATAAAAATATAAAGACTAATGAAATATTTTATTTATATATTAATTTATACAGGCTATGCCCTTTGAAAAATACATTTAGTAATACAGAAACATTTAGAAGAAATAATAAAGAATTTAATATTTATGAAAAGTGTACACTAATAAAAGATAGGTTCATATTACCAATAATTAACAAACGTCTAATGGGCTCATTTTTCAAATAATTGGTGGTGCTAATAAGAGTGTAAAAAGTAATTTGGAATGGTTGACGTACTAAGGAACTCCAAAACCAATTAGAGAAAGCTAAGCTGGAGAATCTACTTTACCAGATAAAAATAAATTTATTTAAAAATTACAAATTCAACGCAAGTCTACGATCTGCCAAGTAATTAATCCAAGCTGTGCAGTCACAGGACCATAATCATGTTGCTAATACTGAATTTTTAGTGCAAACCTAGTATGACTTTAAAATTTACATTGAACATGTTCTAACTGGAAACGATCCTAAAGCACAGATCCATACTCAACAACTGGACATAACTTCTTAAAATAATATCTCCTTTTTTGTCTTGGCTTTATAAGCTTTTAACATACCTACTTCCATCTATCCATATATTATGATATTATTACTCCATCTTGAATTCCAATTTCCAATACCTCCTTCTTGACTTTGCCTAAAAAACATTTGTTTTAATCTATGCAGTAGCCCATTACTATTGGGTTATGTTAGTCTGATTAGTATGGGTGAATTGAAAATATTCATTTATTTATTTAGGGATGAACATTGCTGTAAGTGTCAGAAACATGGGTAGGTTTCGACGAGAACGATTCAACCCATGGACCAATTTAAATAAAATGTTGGACCAGAAGAAATCCAAAGTGGTCAAAGACGAAGAGCAAACATTCAAAAGCAAGGTAGGTACTAATAGGTAAAGTATTTTATAGAATATTATTTTACACAATGACCAAGGATTTCTTAACAAAATAAGTAGCTACCATTTAAATATTTATAATACTGTACATTTAAATCAATATTTTAAAAGAAGCATATAAAATTATATAATTAAGTTTTAATAAGCCATTGCAGTTAATAATAAATTTCACCTATTCATATTAAGTTGTCAAATAAAAAATGCCCCCAACTGCATCGTCGTTACCTTTAAGTATAACATAGACCTTGTGTAAAATGTTAAATTTGTAACCTAATTATGAGTACCTATTACTTTTATATACCAGACTGCAATGATAATATTATACCCGTGATACATTTGTATGAAACATACCTATACATTATTAACTTTGTCTATGTGAACCCAGTGTACTTGGAAGGGAAATATATAGGTATTGTTTTTAATCTCAATCATGGATAATATTATTGAGTACAGATTTGGTTTAATTTCTTTTCATTTTCAAGCATCTGGTCGACATAACTAACCCATACCAAAAGGAAAAACAAACATGCATACTCTGCAAAATGAATATTGTTCCTGATTACAAGAACACTAGGTTGTTATCTCAATTCATATCCCGTTTTACTGGTCGTATATACGGTAGACACATCACAGGGCTTTGCCGACACAAACAGGAACATGTTGAAAAAGAAATTAAAAAATCAAGAGAAGCCGGTTAGTTGTTTATATTTATATAATATTATTATTAGTAAAAATCTGCAGTTAAAATCTAAGATGATTTTGAGTAAATATAACCAATAAAATGTCTTAAATAACCATTGGTACTAATGATAAAAGAATTATGTAGTACTATATTAATTTATACATATTTATATAATCAATTATTATCAATGCTTTAATAATAGGCACCTGTAAGATTTCGAAAATATTTTATCTACACTGCAGTTTGAATCTATTACTCACATTGTACACTGACTTATTATTTTAATTTCAGGTTTGTTGCCATTTTATTTCAGGAATCCAGAATTTAGCCATGATCCTAAATTATTTGACCCTGACAACCCTTTTAGACCTCATAGTTATTAGGGTTAATTAGATGTTTTAAAGACTAATATTTTATATTTAACTTTCAATGCATCCAGTTTGATTGTTTGAAAATATAGATATACAGTGTTCTAGATACAATATAAATTGTATTTGAATTGTTCATAAATAATTTTATGTTTTACATTCTTAATATAGTATATTACACACAAATGTATAAACCAACAATTTTGTTTTATAATCAACAAATGAAAATAAAGTTTTAAAAATTATTAATGTATTTAAATAATTTTGTTTACCTATATACCTACATATTCTACAGAATGATTAATTTTTTATCATGAAACGGCAATTTTCCCAAAAGATTTTAAGTGTACTTGATTTCTGTTTGTTTAATCATTATGGAATCGTTCAAGTTTTTTTTAAAAACTATTTTTAGTTTTTTACCAGTAATTCATAGAGTTAATAACTCTAATTGAATGTAATATATTGTTTATCTTACATTTTCAGGTAAGGAAATATGGATCTTAAAAAATGTCATTGAATGTTCAGATACTTATATAAAATTAATAGCCTTTTTTGTTCAACCATTTGTTCCTGTTAAAACAAATCCCCGGTATAGTTGATTGTTTTCAGGACTGGGATTATTTTACAATAACTAATATATTTTTCTGTTCCATAGTAACTATCATAAATTACATACATTCTTACCTACAGTGGCCATGTGAAAATAAATGCAAATCACAATTTAAATAAAATAATATCAACTATTATAATAATTTAGATTAAATCATAAATAAAAACAGCTGATACTTGGGATGAGTGTGGCCACTGTTGTAGGTGGGTAGTGGCCAAAGTGGAATACATATACATATAAAGTCGATATACTTCCCGATTTTTAATATACTTGTGTCGCGCTCTGCTTCAATTATTAGCGGATTTGTATGCGTTTTTTAAATTGTCCTGTGTCCCGTCTTACAAGTCAGCGGGACAAGAAAGTCCCGATTTTTTAACAGCTCGTAGCGTCTAAAATTAAAACAATATCGATTCGTTTTTAGATTATATAATTACTTTTTTTTTAATATAGATTATAGGAAATACTAGGAATAGTCACTAACCGTCCTTTCACGCTTGTCGTCGGTGTATAATGTATAACAATAATGCCTATAGCTTATAGCTAATATTTCTTTTAATATTAAAACTTCAATTAATTGTGAAAAGTAAAAGAAAAAACGTCCGACTCTAGCTATGATGGCAACGATTTAAATAAAAATATGTCACCACATAAGAAAAAAGTCATAAGGTTGGGGAAATTTAATAAAGCTTGACTTTTAAAGTTATGCATGGATTATGCTAGTCGAAAATGAATATCAAGCACATTGCAAACTTTATCGTAAACTGTAATATTTCCATATCTCATCATGAAAGTGAAAATGATTTTAAAAAACACGAAAAAACCATAAAACACTAAATTTGTAAAAAATCAATCAAAATTTATTTTTACTATAACTTTATACATTCTTTTATCCACGGATGAATATTAAGTATCTGCTGCCGAAACCGCTTTCATTTACCATACTGTTGAACACGCACATAGTACGACTATGTACGGGAACATTATTTCATTTATTATTTTCAGATTCAAAATATAGATGTTGTAGAAAAAGGCCACCGAAATTGTTAATGTTTTGGCTCCATATAGTACATAGAACAAGTTTTAAACGATCTTAGAGATAATCACCCATTTTTAGCACGGTATTTTAAAAAAGATATTGGTGATATTGGTGATTATATATATAAAGCTTCTTTCATTTCATTCGTTAGAATGTAAAAAATCAACTTCAATTGCAAACGTTCTTTTGGAAAATTGAATAACACATAAACTAAATATTTATAACTTAACGGGATAAAGCGCCAGTTAATTTTGATAAAAATCATAGAGTACATGTTAAATTACAAAAAAAAAAAATTAAAAGTTGGGAATGGGACGCCATGGTATTATTCACAAAATGGAGAAACGTGCTTGTGATACGTACAATAAGGTAATGTTTTTTTTCTGATGATGGAATCGAAACTTATCAGATTTTGACCTGGCAACACTGGTATCACAATTAATTTTGTATTGATTAATGTTTGCGTTTGCAAATCGCAATTGTACACTACACGACAATGGACGTTGAAGAGGAGAATCGAAAGTTTTTAAAATTATTATTTTATTTCGTAATTGCGTGGGTAACTCTTGGCTATCTTAGAGATTTCGGTTTTTTAGCAGGCTCCTCTTTCTACGGTGCACGGGAACAGTGCACCGCCAATTTCGAAAATTACCCATACACTGCTGTTTTACTACAACAAAAAAAATACATTAATAATATCTGTACATAGAAATGCATTCGGATTTGTTTTGGAGACACGAATACCAATTGTTTTGTACAATTACAGAAATATTTAACGCGAAAAGACGAGAAAAACGAACGGCACCACGGCACGTTGCCGGTACGCCGTTGTACGCAACACGCAACGGCCGCGGGGCTACCACGGAGTATGGACGGACGAACACGATTTTCGCGGCGCACGCGCATTCGACCGTTTCGTTCCCGCTACCGGCGCAATTGCCATTGGACGTGCGGTGTGTTGGTGCGCAAACGAATGTCGCGCTCCCGCGGCCCGTACAGCCCGTCCGCCCGCGGCCGGCGGGTGCCGACGGAGTGAACGCCGCGCGCCGGGAATCGATTATTTCAATTTGAATATCAAATTCGTCCGGCGGGCGGCGTTACCTCGGGATAATACTCCGCGGCCAAATACTGACCGTCCCGGGTTGACGTTCAATCCATAGATAATGTTATTTAACAAAACGAAACACGATTCCCGAATATATTGTTGATTTCTATCTGAGAACCTCCTCCTACATAAAACGAATACGAATAAATCCATATTTTTCAATGGAATATTTGTTTCGGTTCCCGTTTTCCGAATCGACTGTATCCATTGTGTACAATTTTTGAAATGCGCACCGCCAATTATTTCACCCGCCACTGGCAAGTTCTGTGTCCGATTCAAACGGTAATGGGTACCTAGTGATTCGCGCGACAACATTTTTCAAACGGAAAATTATTATTGAATATTGTACATCTATTGTGGGTCTGGATATTTTGATCTTTTGGCACGAACACGTAAATTTCAATTGGCCAAACAATTATTGCTGTATACTGTCGAAATGCACGCAATCCGTATTATTTGTATTACAATAGCTATTGTGTATAACCTACAGTGGTGTAGTGTACTTGGCGAAAAATGGTTTCCTCGACAATTCCACTGTACAAACGGAACGACCGATTGAACTTGCTTCCTGCAAGCAAGGCGGAACATTATTTAGATGTATTGTCAATGACAAGCTCATTGATCCGATCAAGTTACTGAATGAGAAATTCTTTGACAAAACTTATGTAGAATATGTAATTAATGCTATGAGCAAAACACACGAGACTCTGATTATACGTTTAGTTACAATAACTGGTCATAGTTCGGCAATCAAAATTGTAATTGACGCAGGCGTTCAATTATGCAAAGGAGTTGCAATTACTGCTGCTCTACATGGTCACATAGATTGTTTGCACTTTTTGATACAGAACGATTGTCCAGTGTCGAAACAAATATTGTCCATGTATTGTTTCTAGAAGTACAAAATTCAAAATGTTTACCAGGTGTAATACGCTGTTTGACATTGTTTGAAAAATATAAATGTTTTTTTTATTTTCAAACTAAATTGTTAATTTAAAGTAAATAAACGTATTATATACAATTATTCTTTATTTTATTACATCACATTAAATAGTTACCGTCTTAAATTAATTACGCTCAATTGAGCATAATAACGAATAGTTTTATAGCAATCATTTGATATGTGTGTGTACACAGGAGTGATGCATGAATGATTATAATAACAAAACACACAACTAATTTAATTATAAATTACTAATGAATTCAATTTTGGTAGTGTTAATTAATAATGTAATATTTTATATACAACCGTAAAACAGAAGTAACGAATAAGTTATCTGTAACAAGGATTTGAATTATGAACCTATAACTTGCGAGACTTAATTAGAAACATACTATATTGCAAATTCCGGAGGTGTAATAATGTTAACACAGAACCTCCCTGGCGCCCTGTTACCGGTTAATCGGAAAAAAAATCCCGGAGGTACTGTCGAATAATCTATCCAGGATCCAGATAAAACCAGTTGAAGAGTTTTCTGTAGAACATAATCGAACAAAATGCCGAAAAGTTAAATGTATGTATTACGCACATTGATGAAATAAAATTATTTCACGGAATTGGCCATTTTTTCATGCAGCGCAATAAGACCAGTAAAGAAACAAATTGCGTGCTGGAAATAAATGATCGTTTTTCAAGGTGTGTGTGTGTATGTGTAAAGAGAAAAAATGTAATCCACATCATCGGTGGTTGACAGAAGACAGTGGTTGAATGTGCCAAGCAAGGCTTTTGAAGATGTTTTATTTTTTCATACGTGACGTGAAGATTTTGCCTTCTGTAACGGGCCCATGGTTGTAGACTTAGAAGAAAAATGTTGAAACAAATTAAAACTCCCACTCGAGTTTGCAAATAGTTCATATTTCCACACGAAAATATTTAAGTCCAATAAATAAATCTTCACAAATATACCAGGTCCGATAATATTCTCAGTCAAATTAAATTAAATTCAAAAAAATATCGCAAGTCCAAAAATAATTCTTAAAACAGTGTGGCGAAGTTGCTCGCATTTGATCGTGGTGGACTCGTCTGGTTGGACGGCTTTATATATGATTAGAGGGACCCCCGGCACCCCGCTGTTCACAGTCGCGACTGTCTACATTATGTCGTTATTCCCGTTTTTTTTTTTTTTTTATATATATATTCCTGGAAACGAATTTATCTAAGCATTATCGGTCACCGGTATCACGCGTTTTGCTATTTTCATTACATGTTCGCCATTAAATTCGGTGTTAAAAGGATGCACTTCAGTTTATTGTATACTATGACGATGTTGTTAATTTTATTCGATCTAGCCTAACATCAGAAATCTTAGCTCCCGGTTTCGGGTGCGGTCCCCTTTTGTGACTAGTCAATCCGGTGCGCACACAATTTCACCTAATTAAATACAGGTTCGCAAGCGTACACCTATAATATAGCGTAAGTGGACACGTAACAATTCAAAGAATTCGACTATAGACGCTGTGCATTACTGTCATCACGGATGTATCCGTGGTTACAGGTATACCGGCTCTTGGTACAGCACTTGAGTATTATTCCAGCATTTATTTGAACATTATACCTGCTATTGTTATATTTTGCGCTCTGTAATTTTATATCGTCATTGATATAATATCGATACATCTGATATTCCAGCGACACGGCGTTGTTGATCGTGTCCGCCGTGAGTCTGGGGTTCTGTACATCTGCCGTCGGATGTTGCGGCGCCTCTTCCGCGGCACCGTGTCCAAGTCCGACCATTATCGAACCGACACCAAGTGACATCAAGTGATCAAGTAACTTTTTTTAAGAAAGTTGATTACGTCGAACAGTGGCTGCGAGCCTAACAAAATTGTGTGTCATTAGAACCTATAACCAATTCTTAACAGGGAATAAATTATGGTTTGTTTAGTGTAGATGAGCATATAAAATGCCTAATTGAATATATCAGTGGTGACAGAGCTCGTAGCAAGGAAATATTTTTAATCATAATTAATGACTTTAAATGAACTTGGCATTACATTAATGACTCCAAGAGTATCATCAAAGCAAACTTTAAGAAATAACACTCCTTCATCAGATCCAGTGGACTACTACAGTAAATCTATTCACTTACCATATTTAGATTCACTGATTACATCTTTAAATGATAGGTTTGCAGAAGACGATTCAAACTATGGAATTCTTTCAGTTCATCCTGAATGTTTTCAACAAACTCCCGCGGCGTGAAGTTAGCGGAAGTTTTTATAATCGTGGATAATCGATGGTAAGCACTCATTGTTTTTATTGGAAAACCTATATAATACATTCTTCGCTACACCCAGAAACTAAAATTAGGAAGGTAGGATATAGAAGAGAATTTCATTTATATCTGTATCATACCTTCTCAACTTCTCACCTTCAACAACACGCCCATCGTGTTTTTTCGTCTTTTTTAACCATCAAAGAGCTCGTTTTAGAATCTGAGTGAAGCATGGAACAAGTTTTACAATGACGTTACTGTACGCAACAATATAGCATTGATAACGAAAAACGATTCGGAGTGAAATTAGATTATACACGTATAAATACGTCAAATTTGATTTTGAAACTATTTTACAAAAAAAAAAAATTAATAACCAATTTTAATTTTTGAAATAAAATGCATTTCTTTTTTCTCCAGTTACCTACTCAAAGTGGTTTTGCAAAAAAAAAAAAAATGTCTAAAACCTTTTGGAAAATCAAAAAATTATATAAGAGATAAAATTACCTTTCATAAAAGATAATATAGTCTATACTTTGGAGCAAGTTTTTTGGTAGAAGTGGTTCACACAAAAAAAAATAAAAAAACACACACATAAAACCAATAGATCCAGTGGCGTAGTGTGATATAGTCAGTGGTGTACCTAAGCAATCACCGAAAATGGTAAACCTATCTATTTTTACTACCTCTAGAGAGCCACTCACAATTTATTTAATACAAATTTGAAAATGATTTTAACATTATTTTAACCGTAGTTCCTAAATAAACACCATCAAGTAATAATAATACTTTGAATTGTTTGAAGTCAATGAGTGAAAATGGCTAATGAGAGTTCCAATATGGCATTGTTGTATTGGGTCGTACCAACGCTGATATTATAGTAAAATATAATCATGCTATTGATATGATGAAAAGTGTGTAACAAGTATGAAAGTTGCGTATATAGTTAGTTATATGTCATCTCCTTATACTGTTCCAAAATTTCAAAATGTAATGTATAATTTTGCATTATTTGAACTTGATCATCGCTTAGATTGTTCATTTAAAAATATACCAATAATATTTTATAACTGAAAGTGTAAGTAACATTTACATTGTATATATGAACACCACACTACTAAATAAATCCCTCGCTACGCTCCAAATCTAAAATGATACACCAGATTAGATACATTAGATTCATCAAAATATTTAAAACTTCTATACTGTGAAAATAGTGGTAATCATTATAATTTGTATAGAAACATTCATATTTAGCATTAAATTCTACTACAGTTGTATTGTATAGATCATAACTTTAAAACACAAAAGAAACAGTTTTAAAATATATATCATATATACATAATACGTATAATAAAATAAAATATACATATATATATATGTATACATCTTGACATTAAAAAATTTAAATACTTATATTACGTACATTATATACATTAATAGTAAAAATGATTATCCTAACATGATCACTGCAAAAGCCATAAAAATTACAATTTCTTATAAATAAAAAGTTTAAAAATAAAGAATTATGCTTAACCTCACATTATTTGCTCTCTATTAATTTCACAGTCTTATTAACAACTAAAAAGTTGTTTACATTGAAAAAAAAAAAAAAAATCTTTCGTTTCATTTTTCAAACACATTAATATAATATTTTATCAAATAACAATATTTAGTATTTAAATATAGTAAAGTACGAGTGGATAAGTGAAGAATTTTGCACCAAGAATAATGATGTTACATCTCACAAAATATTTAAAATAGGTATTTCAAGAATATCATAGATTTATTAGGTACTACATGTGGGATATGTACAAAATTCAGCATTACAATTTTGCGAGTTGAATAGATTTTGATTTCAGTCACGTGAGCTTGAGTAACAAATGATCAGTACCCAATAATCCTAAAAATAAAAATAAGATAAAATATTGTATTTCATTTTCCAAACTATTTTTCATAAAGCATTAGAAGTTTATTTTATTAAAAATCAAGATATCAACAATTTGGTAATTCCTAATTAAAATTTGTACGTTATACTAGATGATATACATAAGGATTTTTGTATTGATACTTTCTCACAAATATATTGGGAAAATCAATCATTTATGCTAAATTTTGATATAACAAAATTTAAACAATGTGTACAAAATATGTTTAATAAAAAATAAAAACAATTATTTTTTTATTTTACAGAAAACCCGTTTTGTCTTCACCATACTGCATAATAATATAGGTAGATGAGTACCTTGTAATCATATCATGTTCAAAATTATAGCTTAATTTTGATAATTTTCAAAATTTTTTCTCACCAAATTTGTCAATACTAAATAGTGTATACTATTTTTTTTTTAACATAAACACAACATTTGAAATAAATTTAAGTGTATGATGCAAATACAATTTTTACTTTATTAATTGGTCAAAAATTATAAAAATCTAAATTATATGCTGAATTAAAAATTATAAAAAAAAAATTAAAATTTTGTATAAAAACCTACTTACACGGTTAATTTACTACGTTCTGTGAGGGCTTGAGAGAAAACAAATAATGTGCTGAGATTATCTTATACATAATTACTAAAATTCCAGTCAAATTCTCTAATATGATAATAATAGCATATTTTATAATGATTCACGCACAAATATACACATGGTTTTTTTTAATTTTACTCAATCTTATTTTCATCTGAATTCCAATTATTATAGAAATCTTTAACATTTTTTTAATCGCATAAAAAAATTTATAATTGAACTGTTTTAACTTACTCTTCTTTGTAGTTAATATAGTGTTAATACTATTCAGCATAAACAATAAAGTGTTGTTGGTGATCAACTTCAGGTATTTCAACATTGATATACTGTTCATTCAGATCATCCTGTGATTGGTTAGATGACCGATTCAAACTAGGTCTCGGTCGTGACATGTGTTTACTATGAAGTTAGAAATTCAGAAAATAAATATATTATTTTCCAGAATATATAATACATTCATACATATATACTATAATAAGTTCGATTTTTTTTTTTTTTGTTATTTGACCACCCCAAAAATTAGTTCAAAATTATTAAAATTTTCATAATAATGGTTGATTCACATTATACGGAACAAAACCATCACGTTGCTGACTGGTAACTTTCTATCAAAACTAAAAAACATTCACAACTATCTAATGTGTTTTATCCTATTCCAGACAGTTTATTGTTTTTTAAATTTGTATCATGTCTGTAAAATGTTCAATAAAAAACAACTAGCAATAATTTCCCTTATTTCAGATGACAAAGAAAAATATTATCGAACTAAGAATTAGTGAGTACGAAAAATGTTTACTATGAGGAAGTTTGTAGTAGAAATAATATCCAATCCATATTATTCAAAGAACTAGAAGATAACAAAGCTGGTGTAGCATGTGAATTGTGAACAATATATAAATACATACTAAGATATTTTAATGTGAAATGTTGCCAGTTTTTAATGGGACATTTATGTTCCGTATAATGTGAATATACTTAAATGGTAACCCTAAGGAGTGACCCAACAGGGGTTAAGTTCAAAAAAGGGTAATTTTCAATTTTCACAAAAATGTATGATATACAAAATTATACATTTTTTAAATTAAATTCTCTATAAAATTATGACTTATACTTTTTCAAAATTTACATGGAAAATACATGTGTAATTTAATTTTTTTATTATTTACAATCTATGCATATAAAAATGGAAAAAACTTGTTTTAATACACTCTTTTAACTAGATAGCCTGTGAAACATAACACAAATTATTTTATAATAGTTTTGAACAAATTATGGAATTAATCTGATCAAAATTGAAAAATAAAAAAATATATTTATCCTCATGGTAAACCCTAACATATATTTATATATATATATATATATTAACAACTACAATACATACTTTGCTTTTGCATGAGTTAAGATATGTGATTTTAAATTAGTTGATTGGGCAAACTTTTTGTTACACGCATCAAAAGGACATACATATGGTCGGTCACCCGTGTGTATCCTAACATGTGTTCTGAGATTGAAATCTAATGAAAATCTCTTCCCACATCCTTCAAATGTACACTAAAACATAATTTTAATTTAGTAAAATAATAATAAAAAGATTTTACAGTTTGTTTAATGACATACCTGAAAAGGTTTTTCTCCAGTGTGTACTAATTGATGCCGTTTAAGTTTTGAGCTTTCAACAAATGCTTTACCACATTCTGCACACACGTGAACTCTGGGCCCATGAGTATGCAAATGTTTTCGCATAGCAGAGTTATCCCGAAACATTTTTGTACAGTTTTTATTTGGACAAGCTATAGTGCGGTCTGATGTTTCCAAACCATGGGATTTTTTAACTTTAGACTTATGACCAGGTCTAAAAAAAAAAAATTACATGTATAAGTCAGTTTTCCATTTCAATTTAAGGTTATACAAAACAATAACCCAAAATTGTTTGAAATATAACTATTAATACCTGGCAAAGTCAGCGAGTTGTTTAGTATCACTGAGGTTAATTTGAGGTATATCTTCAGAAATAGTTTGCTCAGTCATATATTCTTCATAATCAGGATCAGGATCAGGTTCAGGATTACTAACTTCTTCTAAAATGTAATCTATTTTATATTATAAAAGAACTTCTTTATATTATGATCATCATGAAATAATAACCAAAAATAAAAAAAATTTATTAATAATATAAAGATAATTCACCGTCGTCTGTGCCAGAAGCCCACATGGTTACGGAAAATTCTCCTTCTAATGTTCTGATTTGAACTTGCTTTTGTTCCCATTTCCTTGGTCGACCAAGTGGTATAGGTTCAGGCGGCGAAGGAAGTGTTTGTACTAAAAAGTGATCATCAACATTTTCCTTTTTGAACCTAATACAAAATACATCATAATAAAAAAACTATTGATAATATAATATAACATATTTTTAAAAATATCATACATTGATTTATGTTTAATGAGTTTATTTTTTACTTTTACTATATAAAATAGTTATAGAAATTAATGTTTTTTATCTGTTGTATTTGGGGCTGTAAATTAAACATAAATCACTAACCATAAAACAAATACTTTTGAATATTTTAACTAATTAACATACATGGTTCAAAATATGAAGTTATTATAGTTTTAAATAATACACCAGTTATCGTTAAAGTGTCAATTGGCAAGGTATTTACTATTTACATTTAACAGTCATAGTTATGTCATATTTCAAAAAAAACATATTACTAATAGCTGTAGGTGATATCTAATCATGTCTATTTTACATTGATCATTTAGTATTTGTATATATCTTTTATAATAATTTTAAAATAAAAATATCAGATTATAATAATATAATAATATTAGTTTTTTTTGGAATCGTATCAAAATTGACAATAGAAAAATATTTTTTTTCTATCATGTATCTACTGGCTTAATAAATGTTATGTATCTATTATGATGTTTTTTAATGTAATAAATACATATTACTAGGAAGTAAGATTTAAACTAAGCATTTATTCAATGTATATTTTGATATTAAAATAAGCCATAATTACTTAAAACAATAATTTAATACCTATCTTAAATAAATAAAACCATTTTTTTGGTCTAAATATATTAAAAACCCTTAAAAATGACATTAAAATAACACAAAACATACAAAAAAATATACATTTAAAGTCTCAAAAAATGCAATATAAAATGGTTTTGAATTCAATATTTATATTTATTTTGGTAATACTGATATTAGTTTATTATATCCATACAAATAATTTATTTAATAAAAATGTTAATTGAATCCTTATCTTTACCAAATCTGTAGGCTTGTGTAAAATATTATAAAATATAAATTTTACTTTTATACAGCCAGTGTAAAACAAAACATTTGTATTTAAAGTTGTTAATTGACAGAATTTGATTAAAAATACCAGAAAATGAACTAAAAAGAAAATATAACTTAAAAATTCCAAAAAAAATAACCTTAACAATTAAAAACATCATAATATCCAAAAACGAGAAAATAAAAGTTTCACAAATTAATTTGTAGTTAAATAATTAAAAATATGTACTTAAGCTATGTTTCACAATCAGCTAAAGTAGTGAAAATGCATATTCCTAAAAATTCACAGTCCTAATTATGATATGTAAAGAAAAAATTGTATAACTTTAATAGGTAGGTACATTAATATTTATTTATCTATAGAGGTAGAAATGAGTTGTTTTTAATAAAATGATAAGAAGTAGATACTAAAAACAATTATAAAAAAAATAATGATTAAATAATTAAACTTTAAAATTATTTACAATTATTAAACATTGAATAGTAAAACAATATTACTTGGTAATTATGAACTTCTGTTATTATACTGCTTATAATTTTTATCCACAGAAATTAAGAGTGTAAACAATTATGTCTTGCAGAAACATATTATTTTAATGAATACAATACAATTTAGTTATTTTAAATAAATGCTGGGAGATAGTATCAATTAATGGCATTTTTTAACATAGGCACGTTGAAATATCCACAGTTAATTGATTTTGTTAAAAATTATTAAACCCAAAGAATAAAAATACCATACCTAAAGCAAATGTATCTATGGGTGTTTGAAGGGTCAGTCATGACACAACAGGACTAGTAAACACAAATGAGATATGGTCAACCACGGGAGCTGTGTCAATAACACAATGGTGTATTCCACAAACAAATGTAATCTTAATATTATTTTTACCTGGAAGGTCCGGGGCTTTCAGGCTCTGCGTAAAGTTCTTGAGGCACAACACTTTCATAGACGTAAGTCAGTTGACCATCTTCCAATTCTTGATGGTGGTTGTTATGGTTGGAATGATGGCTCGCTTGTACAACCATAGTGTGGTTTTCGGTCTTCAACCCCTGTATGGGTGCCATGATTAGTTGCCGACCGTTCTGGTCTACAACAGTGGTCTCGACAATTTCACAGGGCATATCCAGAGCTATTTGATCCGATAATTTAAGGTCGTCATCATCCTCGTCCGTTTTTATGTAATCTGCCGGCGACGCCATTTTGTTTGTTATTGTTTATAGTGGAAAGAAATATGTCGCACGCACGTCCGAGAGAGAAAAATGGCGACCGTCAGGAACGCGCGCGTACGTGTGTGCATCTATAGTGTAGTCATAGAAAAGAGAGTGATGGCAGTATGGGACGACGGACGGGACGGGTTAGGGACATACAAGTTTATGACGCCATTTACGAACAAAGTGATTGCCTGATCAGTGGGCGGCGCGCGGTGGGGAAAACCGTCATCTTCGCAGTACCACCAACCGTGTGCAAGCCCGTAACCCCTTAACCGCTGTGCTTGTTTTTATTTTCGTTACCATTATCAACACAAGATAACTGATAATAGTGATAGTAACTGCGACCACAAATTAGTGATTATGCGAATCACGACACGACTGTAACGTTATTCAGAATCTTTGAAACGTAACAAGTAATCGCTATTCGACTGCTGTACAGACAGAAGTATGGAACATTCTAAATATTTTTTTGCTCCTGTCAACATGACCTCGTACCGTATACCGTAATTTTTATTTATTTTTTTTTTTTTTGTCACGTTCCTACCAAAAAATAACTGTTTGCTCATTACCGTTAATCCAAATAAACTAAGTTGAATAGACATTAGACACATATTTTAGATGCCTTCAAAAAAATACATGTTACGTTCACATTGCCAATGTCTACTTAATTTTAAATATATTTTTTACTGATATACACTTATTTTTTTTTTAAATTTACAATGGATGAATCGACGTTTCTCATATTGTTGTCGATTCTAATGTTAGTGGCTAGTTACATAGCGGGCAATGTTCCATTAGTAATGCCCATGTCTGAAGTAAGTCACAAATTTATATGAGTTATTACTATACTAACATATTTATTTTGTAGGCCAAATTAGAACTTATATCGTTATTTGGAGCTGGTCTTTTAGTTGGCACTGCATTAGCTGTGATAATACCTGAAGGAATACATTCCCTTTACTCAACTGTTGTACCACATAAAAGTTTGTTTATTAATAAACATAAAATATACATTTACATAAAAAAATGGGTGTTTACATATTATTACTTATCTTTTTAGTGAAATTATTTCATTATTATTCAAAATTGTTTATACCTAGAGTTTATAATAATGTGAACACATTTTGTACATCAAACATTTTTTATAGCTGCTGACAATGTAACAGTTGAAGTAGACTTTAGTCATGTAAATTTTCATTCAGTAATAGGAGTTACATTAGTACTTGGATTTACATTGATGTTGCTAATAGATCAGCTTTCAACAAAATATATTAAAGGCAAGTATCTTAATATTCTAATACAAACTACCTAAATTGAGTATATTTTTCGATTTTGAAAATACAGTTAATACAGAATACAAATATTTTATTTTTTAAGATGTAGAAGCTGGTTTAGCTAATCGTAAGGCAGGTAGCATGACTGCTACTCTAGGACTAATCGTTCATGCAGCTGCTGATGGTATCGCCTTAGGTGCTGCAGCTGCTTCTTCTCATAAGGAAGTCGAAATGATAGTTTTTGTTGCGATTATGTTACATAAAGCACCATCTGCCTTTGGTTTAGTCACAATTTTATTACATCATGGACTTGACAAAAAAAGAATACGTAAACATCTGTTAGCATTTTCAGTATCAGCACCCATTGGTGCATTAGTCACATTCTTTTGCATTGGACAGGTATTTAACTTTTTTATATAATTATTATAATAGTTATTATGCTATCATATATTTTAGGAAGGTAAAAAAACATTATCATCCACAAATGCTACTGGAGCTGCAATGTTGTTCAGTGCTGGGACATTTTTATATGTTGCTACTGTACATGTTCTTCCCGAGCTGATGGTTAAAGCATCAAGAAGTGGCAGTGATACTTTTAAACCCTTACAATTGGTCTGTTTAGTATGTGGAACAGTAACACCATTAATGTTATCGGTAGATCACAACCATTAAACAAGAATAGCAAATAAATTTGAATGGCTGTTTTATTAAATTTTTCATTGTTGTGTGATAAGATGTTAGAAAACAATTCAGACAAGCATAAATTCCGAATATTTTTAATGCACTTAAGAATACTTGAGCATTAATTTTGAATTCAAAAAATCTGACAAGGACTAAGAAGCTGGATAAAATTATGAAATGATTATTACGACCAAAATACATTATATTAATGTTAAAGGTATTAATGGTTTCATTTTTTGTTCAATTTGATGTACTATAATAAACATAAAGAAAAAAAAATGTTTGTACATAGTATATTATTGTTAATTAATTTTTATTTTTATTAACTTCATAAGTTTAAAATATATTAATTTATATTTTAAGTGTCATTATTCATTAATATATTTTATTACTTTAAATTAAGGCTATATTACGATTTTTTATTATATATATAAAACTTTTTTTAAATATTTTATTGAGGTTAAATTATTAGTACAAAATTGTAATGTAATTTATAATATATTGAAAAATATATGTTTTTAATCTTCAGCTTCTAAATTTATATTATTACCAAATTTAGCATACAAATGAGTTTTCAGGTCACTCATTGTGGATGTAGTGTCCTTGATTTTTGTTTCTATATCCTTCATCTCCTTTCCAACAGTTTTTTTGAGTTGTTCTAGATTATTCTAAGCAATGATAATTGTATTACAGAAATGATCGTAATATAGAATATTAAAATTGAGTTAATAAATATACCTGTGCAGTTTCTAAATTATAATATACAAAAGTTTCCCCAGATAGGTATGGCAGATTTGGACAATCATCTTCATCTAATAATAATAATTCTTCAGAAGCATCTTCTAGATTCTTTAATGTTGTCTAAACAAATTAAATTGACCAAACACGTTTAAAAAAAAATTTGGCCTATATCAGGTAATGTTATGAGTGTGTTTTCAGAAATCATGAATTATATTTAAAAATATGGACATATTTTGAACAGAGGTGAATTTAATTTATATACTCAACAATTAATCATTGAAAAATGAAAAATATTCTGAGCATAATTTGGTTAAAAAAAATTAACATTACATTTGATTTTTTTTTTACTAGAAAGTACAATTTATAATGAAACTCCAGTTAAATTTTCAAGCATTTCTGTTTGGTCTAACAATTTTAAAAATAGAGTACCTACCATATAAAAATTACGTAAAAAAACAAACTTAAATATCTATGAATGGCTCAAATGTTTTTTAAATATTTAAAAGAATACATTAAGTAAATTTAATCAATTATTATGAAGACTGCTTGATTAATCAAAAAATAACTTACTTAGATAGCACCCAGATAAAAATTATTTTTAGATAAGTGCTACACTTAAAAATCGAAGTATTTTATTAGTAATTTATTTCTGGTTAGAAAATAGTTCACAGATAAAAGAAAAATAAATGCTCAGAATCTTAAATTGGTGTTAGAGGCAAAGCTCCCCACAAATTAAGTTAAGATTAATTATGAAGTCTTATAATCCCTCTTCTTTAATTTCCCTCATTTGAGCACTGAGTAAAATAACTAATAATAGTATCCTTTTAAGATAAATCATTGTAGGTTTATGTTTCTATACATAATATCTACTAGTAGTATATAATATAATGAAAGAGGTATACAAATTCGAAACATAAAATCATGGACTGAAAAATCTAGAATGTAATATTCCGAAAAAATAACAATGGTTTTAAAAAAATATAGTACTAGTATTAATAGTATTATACTTAGTATTAATTTACTTTTTATTATATGTCTATAATCAAGCTATTATATTTTTTTGCAATACAATAATATCTATGAAATAAACTTGTATAAACAAAAACAAAAAAAAAGGGCTGGTTGAAAATTCTGAAAAGTAAACAAAATAATCAGATAGCGTAAACGCTATGGATATCAAATCTGTAATTTTTAAGGCTCTAAATGAAAAAGTTGAGAAAAAACAAGTGTAACTTCTTCGCTACACTAAATATCTAAAATGAACATCAATGTCAAGATATTTTATTTAATTTTTTCAAAACACTTTTTAAATATAAAATAATATAACATTGTGAAAACTAGTAGAAGTACCAGGCAAACAGACCGAAATATTATGTGTAAAGCGTTACATTTTGATTAACGTTATGTGATATAGTGACTGTAGGACCATCACAATTTTACTTGCGCTAAGGGACTTAAATAATTAGTTGTGGCATAGCAATATGGATAATAATTTAAATTCAAACTTACTTGTTTAGTTTTCAATTCATCTCTATATTCTTCAACACGAGCATTAAGTCTTGCAAATTTATTGATTTTTTGTTGATCTTCAAATGTGATGTGAACATCTGAATCCTATAAATCAATATAAACATAACAAACTATAAGCCTATAATATAAATATCTAAAAGGTCAAAGAATTTTTGAATAATATATTATAATGCGCGACTATTTTATTTGAGATACGTATTTATACAAAAAAGTTTAGCCATGATTCTTGTAGTTTGTTGTAATTTTAAGGGTATTAAATCAAGAAATTAAAAACAAAATCCCTTAAAATATCAACTGTATTTAAATTAGAATATTAAAAATTTCCCTATCTGCTAACTAATATAGAGTTGCCATAAAAGTTCAGTATTAAGCAGGACATTTACAAAACAATTTCAACCTTTTTTTTTTAATTATACAATTTAGAACACAATGTAATATATATATATATATATATGTAGAACAAAATAATAAAATAATAATAGCATTGAATTTAGTGTATACCGTATATAAGGTTACATACTTATTTTACATTTATACCATATTTTGAATTTTAAGTTTAAATATCTATTCTTACATCACAAACACAAATACAGGGGGGGGGTTAAGTGCTGCTTATGTAAGTTAAATAAATGATAAATTTGATTAATTAATTGAAATTTTATACTTTTCTGACGTTTTCCCCTATTTTAATAGCTCTGGTTTTCTCATGACATACGTATGAAATTACAAACAAGTCATTTTGAAATAAAATTTGCATTGAATGATACTTTCCACAATTTCTACTTGAAGACAGTTATGTTCTTTGGTTTACCGGAGGCTATTATCAGTGAAAAAATCCTCTCAACATTGGCGTTATGACCAGGAATGGCAAATAAGTATTAACACATCAAAATTAAATTACGCTTCTTTCGAATATATCAATTTTTTGATGGAAATGCAACACCATTTGGCATGTGTTTTTTGTATTCCCATCTTCACCATAATAATACAGTTCAATGATTATTATCAGTAAAGATAATCTTTTAATAGAATAAGTAGAGTGTCCGACGTGAAATTAAAGGTTTTTATAACACAAATTTTAAAATATAATTTATAATTATTGGTGCTTATTTTAATTACACTAACTGGGATTTTTGGAGAGTGTAATGGGACAACGGGGTCCAAAGTCATAAACTGGTAACATGTCCCGGTGTACTGTGATGTATGGTAACCCTAATCTAATATGAAACTAGTTAAATCATATTATACCAAAACATATTTTCAGATGATAAAAACCACTGTTTTCTCAGAATTTAAATTCCACGATTACTTAAGTAATAGTATAAACCATATTATAATAAATTATTTTGACATAGGTAGCCATCTATGGATGCATGTAAAAAATACACAATGAACAAATAATAAAATTAAATTGAAAACTTACTGGTTGGAAACTTCCTTTCGACACTTGGGCTGAAGCCATTTTTATGTAGGTGATTAAAAGGAAGAAGTACTATTCTCTTTCTATGGTATTACTGAATATTAATTAATTTATTATATCTTAATCAGTAAACAGAGTAATTTAATTATTGTCTACTTGATTTTGATTACTTCGAATATATTTCGATATTTATAATTTTTTAGTAGGTATGCTTATCAATTATTGAACCAAGTGATTTATCAATTTAATAATATTAATAATGTCCATAGATAATATCCTTATCATGTTTCTCAATGGGTGCCGGGTAATTGTTTGAAAAAGATAGTACATTTTTATCACTAACCGCCTACGTTTACATCAACGTAACAGAATAAAATATCTCAATTATTTGAAATGTTATGAGTATATTATTGTATCAATATACGGAAATGCTTTTATGTTATTAAAGTAATTTGTTTTACTATTACAGTTGTAAATTTAATTAGTTTTTACCAAAAACGTTTACACATAACTGTGTTTAACAGTAAATACAACCAAAAGCTATAATACTAGAATATTTTCCCAAGAAAAACCTTTCACAAAGAAACAAAAAAATTTAATATTGATACTATTGACTATATTGATTGATACTATTTAAATCATTTGAAATGTACGATAACTAATTTACTCAACAACAAACTTAGCTTCAAGAGGTAAATACATTTTAATTTATTTAAATGCAATGTATTAATTTATATATTTATGCATGGATTAAAGTAAAGTTTATAAGGTTTTATTATAACCATAGACTAATAACATATAACTTGTAAGATAATAGCATATTGTATAAATTATGAAATCAATGCAAAACATATTTAAAATGTCAAATTATTTTATATTAAAAATAAAAGAATATTATGTTGGTAATAGCAACATTCCATAATTATTGCACTCGAGGCTGTTATCATTTCTCGAATCTACTGGTCTCCTTTTCTTAACATGCCTATGATGATAATGTCTGACGATCAATGAAGTTCCAAAGGGACCATAAAATTAATACAGAATATCCATTCTCTTAGTATCTCACATTTTGAACTTCTTTGGGGAAATCTAGCATTGAGTAGATCAAATTTCCCCGTAGTGTTTAAAATCAATGGTATAAAAATACCATATTGTATTGTATTGTATACATATTGTATTCAATATTCATTTATTTTGCTACAATTTGACATATATATTAAATATGATTTAATATGAAAAAGCAATACTATTAACGAAGCAGTACTCAGAATCATTTTTCGTTAGCTGAAGAAAATGATCCCTATGATGCTATTGACGAAATCAAACAGAGGCAAATAGCAAGAATACTGGAGAGTATTCCTCATGTAGCTGTTAACCAAAGTAATATTGTACCATGAACAATAACTGTGATTCATGTTTTGTTATTAATAAAACTAACGGATATACCTATTTCTTGTGGACATAAATGTTTGTGTTCTGATTGAAGAGCAAATATTTTGAAGCCCAATATGCAACTGTCAGAATACAAACAATGTGTATATTTGATTGACTATCACTTCTTCATTACTAAAATAATATTGTTACTCATAAGTGTTTTCCTTGTACTTTGTGTATAAAAACGGTATTTAAAAAAAAAAAACAAATATAACTTACGGAAACAACATAAAATGCAGTTGAAATAAAGAAATGCCACATTGTCCCATGCATTCATAACATTACCATTGATATATAAAAATTATAAGCTATTATATACCTATGTCATTGACATTATTATTTTACTACAGTCTAGTTCTAGGATAGGGAGTTGCATAGGCAATAGACCTGAGTGTAGTCTACGGTCTTAGATTAATAGTAATGATAAATAAAAAATTGTGTTAAAAACCTTGATAAAAACATGAAGTATTTTGCAAATACTAGTAAGTAGTAACTAATGTTTGATTAACAAAAATACTATGGTAAATACCCATCTTATTAAAAAATAAATTACTTTTAAAATTTGATAACAATAATTTCAGTTTAACTCTGTGATTTTTAAAATTTTTTTTTTAAAATTATGGGTAAATAAACATTTAAAAAATTAGAAAAATCACTTAAAAAGTTTTAAAAGATTTAAGTTTCTTTTCTCTAATGACTTTCACTTATTAAATTAAATAATTTATATCTATATATTTAAGAAAATGTTACAATAGTGTTATAATAATGAATAAAATATCCAAACTAAATAATAAATGTAATGTCCCGAATATTATATATTATAGTACAAAAATATTTTTACAAGTTTGATAGATAAGTCATCAGTACTTAATAATTAAACCTACTGTAAATTCATTTTATACAGAATTTAAAAATAATAATAATAGTAAGGATATATTTTTACAGGATTCGATAACACAATGAAGTGTTTTTTAAGAAAATGTAGTCTGTTGTAGCAAACATATTCAACAAATTCTAATTAATTATAATAAAGGATAGGTACTTAAATTAATAATTAAAAAACTTAAGTAAACCAAATTCAAAAACAGATTAAAAGAATAATTGTTTTAAACATTTTTATCGATCTTAGCAAGAAATATAAGTCTTAATGTAATAAAAAAACATTTACTAAATAGTACATCAAAGAACACAATGTCAATAGTACTATTTTAATTAAATAAGCTTATGTATTAAGAGGGTTGAAACTTCAGGTTTAATACTCCATACATTTTCAAATATATATTGGGCTTTTTCCATCCATTTATGTGAAGATTTACAGTCATTGTTAATCGCTCTTTTTTTTAACTGTCGAAGTTCACATTTTAATTGTAAGATGACTTGTTTTTGTGGACTAATCTTTATGATTTCAAAATCATCCAATGTTGACATTGATAAATGAGTCTAAAATACCATAATTTTGATTAGGTCTATAATTAAAAAAATAATAATAACTTACTTTGCAATTACAGGTTTCAGGTGATTTAAATTTAGGATTTTGAAATAAAACATTTATAATATTAAAATCCAGATCCCATTCTTGAAGGTGTTGCATAACTCTCTTTACCCAGTCCAACGATGCAGTAGAACTATTATAGTCACACCAGGTTAAATTTATTTTATGATACTCTTCTTCAAGTTTGACAAGAATGTTCTTTGGTGATATTAAAGGCTGCTGTTCCAACGCAACGTTTTCCTTACATTCATCACCAGCTGATACTGGCAAGTAAATTTAAAATATCAATTAACTGTACACTAAGTTATTACAAATAAAAAACAACAAACAGAAATGTATAATTTACAATTCATTATGTTGATGAAAATTTACAGCATACCAAAATATTCCACTTATTATGTTTAGAGAATTTTAACTTAAAGGCTCATATACCTAATTGAATTTATTTTACTAATATAATTAGACCAATATAATAATTTATTCTACACAGAATCAATGAAATAATATGTAAAGTTAATGAATGTGTAATGTTTATTTTCCAAAAGAAGGGGTACACAATTTTCCTATACCTATTACATTAGATCTTACTTAGATTGTACTTAAATATTTTATTCTTAGAAATTGTATATGTGTATCAAAAGGGCAATAAAATTATTTGTTTAGCTCTTTTAATATTAGCTATATACAAACCTATGTATATTTATTACCTGTTAAAATAACAAAAAAAAATTAAATACTAAACTAAATATTTTAAATTTAGGTAACATGTAGTATGGATAACGAACGTGTTAATAAAAGAAATATTTTTTTCAACAACAAGATGTTTTCACCTATTGATATTGCAGATAGTGATTTTATTGTTTATCCAAAGGATTCACAATTAGATATTTCTAATCTATATGCAAAATGAATAACCTCACCTGGTTTTTCAAGTAACTGAGAGTTCATCAAAATTTAATGGTGTGTCTCCATTCATGAATAATTCGAAAAACTCAGATTCATTATCAATACCCCATGAAATTTTCTTTACTTTTTGATCTTTTCGGATAGATTGACCAAATACCAGAGTGTCGCCTTCATCACCATTTGATAGAAAATCAAGATTTTTACAAGAATCATAAAACTCAGCATCATCATCATCATCATCACCCCAAAGACCATTCATTGTTTCTTGACTTCTTTGACTTCTATCGGTTAACATAACACCTGTAATTTGATATCCAAATGTATTAAATTGTGTACAACAAAAAACCAAACATCTAGATATTTAAAATATGTAAATATGTATTGATAGTTATTATTTGTTTGTTTGTTTGTATAGTACTTTGAATTGATGGTCCAGCTTGCTCATTGATGACATGTTCAGAGGCCATAATTTATATTCAATTGGCTGTGTTATTATTTTTGTATTGAAATATAATTTCCTTGACAACACCTACATTAAAATTTTAAAATAAATAGTTAAAAAATAAAAAAATAATGACAAAATATATTTATTTTTTTTAAATGTAGAATAAATAATAAATTATTCAATATAATATTCAAACTTGAATTATTTTTGCGGTCTACTACAAAATAATATATGAAACACTATTTACCTAGATTTATTATTGAGTAATAAAATATATATTTTATCAAACATACAAAAACATATTTTCTTTTTAAATATCTATAAAATATTTAAAATCTGACTGGCTCAATAAGAAAAATTGTTGCACGCGTAGTTCATTTTTTATTTTATCTGTTTATCTGATTTTATTGTTATCACAATTTTGTCAATGATAAAACAAAATAATCATAATATTTGGATTTTACTATAAACATTTCAACGTAGTAACGTTGGTATCAAATGTATTGCTAATACACCAACATTCATTGTAACAAATTGCACTACAAAGTATCGACAAAATAATTAAATAACTGTTGTTGATGGGTAGTTGGGAAATTATTATATATAAAGTTATTTATTATACTTGTAATCAACGATAAACCATTGCTAACAAAAAACGATTAGGAGCAAAGTTCCGTTACACATGTTTTGAAAGACCGTAATATTTACAATTTTCGTCAATTTTTAAATTTTATCCACTGAGTACATGCCAAATAAAAATAAAAATGTCTATAAATCAAAAAACAATCTCCTTGGTTACCGACTAGATAAAAAATGAACAAAAAAGATTTCATGTTGTTTTTTCTATTGGAGCAATATTTTTGGTAGAAAACAAGTCGAATAAAATAAAGGAATTCTAGTGCCGTAAATTTATCAGTTTTCATTATTCGTTTTTTTCGGGTTTTTTCAATTATTACAAAAACAAAAAATAAAAAAAAATAGTGAATATCAAATAGTAAATTACTTTTTCACGAACTAGATTAAAAATACAACAAAAAAGATCACTTTTCATCTTTCTATTGTCAATATTTTATTTTTTTGTAGATAATATAAGCCAAACAATTTTAAATAGGTAATGAAATCATGTCTTTCGTCCTTTTTAGTTTTTCCCAATCATTACGAAAAATACTTTAGAAACTTTCTTTGACAGCGGCTATATGTTAGAAGGAACAAAATCGATCTCTTGTTATTTTTTGATTGGAGATATATTTCTAGTAGTTAACATTGTGAAACATCGTTTCATCGTGTTAACAAATTTAAAAAAAAAAGGACGGACATACTTTGCACGTGGGTACAACCACTGTTGTAGGTTGGGAATTGGAAAGGTAAGATACAGACGAGAATTTAATGTATATCTGTAAGTATCGATAAATCATTGCTAACGAAAAAACGATTCTGAGCGGAGTTCAGTTGATATTGTTGTTTTGTCAACAATATATATGTCATATTATGGTAAAATAATTATAAAAATGTGCGTTTCCATATCAACAACGATTGTTTAAAAAAGATTAAATTAAAATAATAAAAACTTATGTTATAAAAACAAAAATAAATAAAAACCGGTTGCCAATGACAACCTTATTTTTAATCTTTCAATATTTTTTAACCTAAAGGTCAGGTTGTTTTCATTATCTCTAATATTAGTTATAATTTCAAAAGATGACCTCACTAAAATACAATCCAGAGAACAGCTGCTTACAGAAAAGATGATATACTTACTTTATAACCGGAGTAATTGTTCTAGTAGTAAATGTTCACATAGAAAAAAAAAAATATATAAAAAAATAAATAAATATCTTTGTAAAACCAATATATTCTTCGCTTTACTCAGAATCTAAAACAATGGAAACGATAAAGTCGTGGCGCGCAGTAAATATTGACCGTTTTACCTATAATTTTACTTTCCCAATTATTTCGAAAATCCATTGGAAAATCCAAAAATGACCTCCCTAATGCATCAATTAGACAAGATTTCCTTTCAGAAAAGTTATTATACTCTACATAAGAGCAAGATTTTTTTTCGAAAAGATGGCTCCGTGAGCACATTTTTATTAATTAAATTAAAATCATTATTATATTTTTTAGTTTCGCAAATTAAAGAACCAATGAAAAATTGTAGTAAAAGTCATTGCATTCTTCTTCATCGTCATGAACTCGCTATTAAAAAGATACTTCTTAAAAATACCCTTGATGAGGCAGTGGAGATAGTAAATTTCGTCAAATATAGGCCATTGAGTACAAGACTGTTCACAATTATGTGTGAAGATATGGGAAGTATTCATAAATCACTACTTTACCCTACCGAAGTAAGATGGCTTTCTCGAGAAAAAATACGTGTATACCTATTTGAATTACGAAATAAACTGTACGTTTTTTTTTACCGAACACCCATTTAATTTACAACTCAACTCAGATTTGCTGATCAAATTTGGTTATTTTGACTTAGTTACTTGGCTGATATTTTCACAAAATAAAATATAATAAATTAAACTTATCAATACAAGGTAAAATTATCACAATTTTCACTGCAAATGATAAAATACGAGCTTTATAAATAAATAAATTAAATTTTAAGCTGTGTGTATTTCTTAACATAAAATTGATAGTTTTTCTTTGTAAAAAGAAAATTTAGAATCAATTGATCGTAATATTGAAGAATATGATGAAATATATGACGAAATTGATCAACATTTGAATGAAATAAAATTGTCATTAGAAAAACATGTTGGTGCAGTTGCAGTATTACTAACGAATATCAATCTCTGGCTAAAAAGGCTGTACTAGCAGTTCTTCCTTTTGCAACAAAATATATGTGTGAAACCGGATTTTTATCATATGCATCAATGAAAACAAAATATCGCAATAAATTAGATGCTGAAGTAGATATGCGCATCTGACTCTCGTCTATCAAGCCAAATATTAAAATACTGGTAAATGAAAAAAACCTACATTACATTAAAATCATTAAATATTACAATTTATAAATTATTAAAATAATATGTTCTTTTTTCCTATTAAATAAATTAAATAATTTGTATATATTCGTATTTTAAAAAAAAAATATTAAAAAGCAAATCATTAATAATTTACATTATTTTTTATAAATTGTGTTGTTGTTTTGAATTGACATTCCTAATTTTTGGGGCTCCGTAAAGTTGTTTAGGAAAATAGGGGCTCCACAAACAAAAAAGTTTGAGAACCACTGCGGCCTAAATTACTATATTCATAATACACAATGTGGATAAAAAATATAAATATTGTTGTATAGCCAGTATAAGTATGGTAAATAACAAAATTATTTTTTTTTCGATTCCAAGTGTACCGATTTTTACTAAGAAGTGTCTTTTCCTCTTGGAAAACACTTTTTCGTTTAGTACTCTGACATTTCTTCAGGTAGTTATTCTAAAATATGAGGAATTTTTTTGCCCAGTGGTTGAATAACTGTTCTAGATGTTCAACATTTTTTCTAAAAAATTAAAAACTGACAAGTAACATATAGTAATATATTGGTTTTAATTTTGTTGCTTTCTGTGTTACAAGAGAAAATACCACTATACTGTAATAATACCACTGTACTGTTATAAATAAAATGACCGGGGTGAAAGGAGAATGAAATTATTGTATACTTAGCCCCACTGATCATTTACATTGTTTATTATCTTCTACGAGAGTAGTGAAAATGTTAAGTGTATTGTATATAATATATATATGTTACGGGCAAAAGCCGAAATTCGGCAGATCTCAGAAATTCCTGGGCCAAACGAGAAGTATCCTCGATATATATTTCGGCGAAATGTCATATTTTGGCTTTTGCCCGGTTAAACCTATAGTTGTGACCAACCTCATTCGGTAAAATCTGTAACGCAATCATACATTTATATTTTCATAAATATATTAAATTTTACAATAAAAGTAACTACAGTTTTGCCCAAATGTTTTTTGTGTATTGTCAATATTTGTCAAAAACCAGATATTTTCGTGCAAGGACTAATTTATAACTGAATAGAACGAATATTGTAACATTATTAATAGTGGAGTATTGTAATACTTCATGTATTGTAATGGTACCTATCTAACCTACCCTAACCAGGCACGTATCCAGAACAAAGATCTAGGGAGCCCAACAATTTTTTTACAACACAAATACAATTAGAAAATATAATATAACATATTATGTATATTATTTTCTCATATATATCAGTGATTGGAATATATTAATATCAGGATCTATGGAATTATAAAAAATAAACATATATAAATATGAAAATAATGAGATAGTGTGTAGTGTGTAGTGTGTGTTGTAGTTCGGTCAGTCAATATTGATTATAATTAATTATCTACATCGTATTAAACTTAAATATTAAATCTCATGACTACTTTACTAGTGACAATTTACTGCGTAAATAATATTATATTATTTTTTTTATTCGTGTCAAACAACCATACATAAATGAGGTAAGTATTCTGCTGGTTGGATCTGGTTATTTTCAATATGACCAACGTCAAGTTTCCAGTTGTCTATACGGGCTTGCTCCGGAGCTTTGTTAGGATATCTGGATATCTGGTACACTTCAAAAAACAATATTCCTTGATTTTAATCTCAATTTATGTGATTATATTTATATGATATGTACGTATAGGATGTGTTATTTGTCCGTTTTGAGTTTAATCCTTTCTAAGTCTGCAGTACGTCAGATATTTTCAGAGGCATGATTTCTGCTAATGGAAGGTAAAGTGATGTATTTTTTAGGCTTCCAGTTATTAACCCACAGGATTTATTTAGTACTACATCAATCTGTTTTGTGTGAATTGATCTGCACCACACAAGACTTTTGTAGGAGAAGCATAATGCTATGGGTGGGGGGGGGACAAAGGTAATTCGTTTTCACGCAATATGCTCCGAGTAATGTCATAGACGGCTACCACTGTACAAAAAGAAACCATCAAAGTGAGTTTTAAGGTGTACACCAGAATTTCTGTAAACCCAAACAACCAAACCAATAACATTATACAACAATACTATTGTTATATTATAATAATATAGTACCTGTAAAGTAAAGATATTAATTTGTAAACACAGACCACAGATAAAATACAAACACTATCTGTAACTGTGCGTGGTTTGTAATCTGTACACGAATATTGTGGAAAATGATAACGAATTTTAAAATATTTTTTATTGATTATATTTTTACCTATTTGATTTGATTACTAATCAAAAAATATTAGTTAAACAGGAAACTACTTATTACCTAAATAAAAAAAAAGACCATGGGAGGATCCATCCCCTATATCCCCCCCCCGTGAGAACGCCCATTGATTTATTGTATCTCTACAATATCTTTATAATC